AGTTAATATGCATTTATCTGGATGGCCAGGGGAGAATGAAAACATGCTCTTCGTTTATGCGCGTGTGTGTGTGCGTGTCTGCGTGCGTACGTGTGCTCTTTGTGTAGTTTTACATGCAATGCAAGAGATTACATATAAATACATGCAAGAGGCCGCGCTGTATCTTTGGTGCAATTAGCAGCATCACAAGTAGTTCAGTTGGATCAGCCGTGCAAAGAGGCAGCAGCAGAAGAAAGGCGAGAGACGAGAGAAGAGTTTGAGCATTTCCACGTTTTCCAGAGAAAAGAATGATGATGATGATGATGATGATGATACAGATACAATATTTTCCACCTGGTGGACATGCAGTGCACAAAGTCACTTCTCTCTTTCGCTGGCTCTCTTTTTCTCTCCCCCCTCACTCAAGCAGAAATCAATTTACACCCTTTAACTTTGAAACATACAAATATCGCTGGGACATGCGCAGGTGAGCTGGATTTGTGTCATCCTCTGATCTGTTACAGGATGAAAAAAGCCGGTAATTCCCTTCTTGGTCATCCACGGGGGAGGAAGCTGTGCCTTCATCTCTGCTTCGCATCTTCGCCGCATCATCTCTGGTTTTCTCTTTTTTTTTCCTTCTTTTCCAAGAATTCTCCACCACTAACCTCTCTGCCAGCGCACGATCCGCCACCTCCTTCCTCCCTCATCCGTACCATCATCTGTCTTCTCTCTTTTTTTTTTTTCTTTTTTTTTTGTTACAGGACCCTGTGTGCCATAGCTTGGTTTTTTTTTTCTTTCAAATTCTGCCTTCTGCGGATGATACAGGCAAGCACTTTGCCTTGCTGAATTATGAATCGGAAAAACATAATAAAAAATAAAAAAACTCTCCATGAAGTAGCTGATCTATTTTTAATCCAACATGTTTGCTTGTTATACCTGCTGCTCAGTGATCTGCCCCCGTATGCCTGTGTGTACACGTGTTTTTTTTTTGTTTTTTTGTGTGTGTTCATCTGTTGAGTTGAATACATGAAGAAGGCAGAGCTTAAAAAGAGAAACTCTTGCTAAGACGGTCTGAATCCCCTGTTCTCCCCGTCCTGTCAGTGGGATTTGAACTGAGATGGGCTTTATTGGCGCTGCACTTAATAAATGCAGCTGGAAAACAGTAATTATAGCAATTACAACCAGCAAGAAAAAATGCTTAAAATGACAAAGCTAAATACATCAGTTTCTGCAGGTTTTTTCTTAAATTATGCTCAGACATCGTCAGACGTGTTGCTGTAACCATGGAGGTGGAGGATGGTAAAGACGATAAGTGTCTGGTCTCTCTTGGTCTTTCTTGTGTCTTGCTGCAAAGAAACCTGTTGACGGAGTTTGGAGCTTTTGTCACGGAGGAGTAAGTGTGCCACCTGTTGGTCAACCTTCTTCTTCTTCCTCTGCTGCTGCTGCTTCCTTCCCAAAGCAAACAACAAGAGCAGCATTCCAAAGGAACTGCGTGGCTTCCAAACCTCGATGGGATTCATGGGAGATTTTACGTGAGAAACAGAAAGTGGCAGATAATTTTGAAGTCCAAGAAAAACGATAAATGGTTTTTGATGTTCTTCTTTTTTTTCGTTTTTTCACGAACAAAAAGCTTAAAAGTGTGGCACGGTGAGACAATACTTTGTGGAACCACCCTTGTCTCAAGCAGCTTTGCAAAACTTGAGACTGAAACTTTGACCTTTTCTTCCCTGCGTCGCTGCTTAAGGTCCGTCAAAGTTTTATGGGCTGAAAACCTAATTTTTTTTCGACTAGATTTACTTTGTGGACTTTGACTAGACCATCCAAGCGCATGCTGTGGCTTTGGCTGTATATCTGTAGAGCTGTATAAACAAGGAACCTCGTCTCGGTGCTGTAGGATTTTACTGTCTTTATCTCCATCCGTCTTCCCATCAATATCCTCCACAATGCATGATGCTGCCACCACCGTGTTTTATGGTGAGGATGATCTCTGCCACTGATGTGCAGTTTTTGTTTTTCTGCATGTAGATCTATTCTGGTCTCGTCTGACCAGATCACCTTCCTGAACATGCTAGCCTTGCCTCTTTCCTGGCCTGTGGCAAACTGCTAGCATAACTTTTAGACTAATTTATTTTTTTAAAACAGCGCTCTTCTTGGCACGCTTCCATAAAGACCGGACAAAAAGTTTTCCCGTCGAGATTCTCTAATGTGAGTCGTGCATCTCTGATTAATCATCCCTTTGTCTGACTTATCAGTTCATGTGGACTGCCGTGTCAGTTCTCTGTTAGATGTCTAAAGCTTGGCATTTGTGTTTGTTTTCTAACTCTAAACTAATTCTCCAGCTTTCATCCCTGACTGTTTCCAAATTGTCCTGGAGGTATGAATGTCTGCAAGGCTCTGAAAGAGGAATAAAAAAATATCAGTTTTTTTTTTTTTTTTTTTTTGGGAAAATACATGTGTATCCATAACGTCGCCGAGACATAAACCAGACGAACACACACACACACACTGAGCTAACCGCAGTGCTGTCGGCCTGTTGTGTTCTTGGAGGTGACCTAGAATGAGAACGGCGTCACAATAGATTCACAATTGCTTACTGTCTCCAACTGATTCAATAGGCAATCTTTCTATCGACGGCTCTCTGTGATACCATCTTTGTGTGTGTGTGTGTGTGTGTGTGTGTGTGTGTGTGTGTGTGTGGGCGCACGTGCGTGTGTGTGTGTTATCTACAAGGAAGGACAGGGCAAAGATAAGAAGAAAAGGGGGGAATTCAATGAAAAAAAGATGGAAAGGAAAGAAGGCTGGTGCGATTAAAAAGGAGAGGTCAAAGTTCAGATATGAGAGAACAGAGACAGGGGGCGCCCTCGCCTCATGCTCTCTGTTTCTTGTTTTCTATCCACCCCTCCACCACCAACCCCTCCAATCTCCCAGCACTCCATAAAAATAAAAAAATAAAAAAAAAGAGCTGACAGTGTAGGCCGGGAAGCAGCCAAGGTGTCAGCGCTTTCCTTTGACCGGGAAGCAGGGGAGGGGAGAGAAGTGGAGAGAGGGTGATGAAACACACAAAAAAGGAGGAAACAAAAAAACACTGAACCGAGAGAGAGAGAGGAGAGAAGAAAGAAAGAAAGGAGTTTTTCCCCCGTAGCAAATCCCGAATCCGCATCCCTGCCTCCTGAAACTTTTACACTCCTCCCGGTGTGTGCAAACCCTCGGCAAGTGCAGATAGGATTTTGACAAGACGGAAATTGATTCCCGGGCTCCACATGCAGGTGTTGTGAGTCTGCTCCCATCCCGAGAAGAGGCACGGTATCGCCTTCGTAATGCATCCTAACGCCGCCGTGCATTCACGTCTCTATATGCCCTCCGAGCCCACTTCACAGGACTCGCAGAGCTGGAAGGTGCCTTTTAATGTTAAGTCACTTTCAAACAATGCATCTCAATCAACCGAGCTTTGGAGATCAAAACAGTCATTCATAAAAGAAAAGAAACACACCTCTCACTGAGGATATTATCGAACTAGTAAGGCGACAGAATGCTTGGCGTTTTTTTCCTTTTTCCCCCTCGCTCATCTTGTATTTATGGTGGGAGGAGACATTTTGCAGGGTTTGTGGGGAGCGATGAGGGAAGAGACATGGGGAGAGTAAAGAGCTGACAAAGTGAAGAGCAAACCCACTCGAGGAGCCTCGTGCCACCAGCACACACAATAACACAGCAGAGGACAAAGGGAGAGGAGAATGTAGAGGAGAGCCATGGAGTGTTCCCTTCAGAGAGGAATCTGTCACTCGCTCTCTGCGAGACGGTGCAAAAGGGTTCCAAAATAATAAAAAAAAAGAAGAATGCAACAGACGCCGAAGGACGCTCTGGGAGAGAGTGAGAAAGAGCGAGGCTGAGGCAGGGAAGGAACTCGACAGAAAGGAGACGTTTGAGATTCCTTAATTGCGTGATCTCTACAGACTCGGCTCCTGTGTTCCGCCGTGTTTCATTAACTGCGGTGTGTGTGTGTATGTGAGTGTGTGTGCGCGCTGCGAAACGTGTTGCACCGTCTCATACAGGTGCCTCTCCATAAGTCGGACAAATTTATTGATTTTAGTCTTTTAAATAAATCGAAAATAAATTGACTTGTTAACGTGAAGCGATAAAACTTGAGGGTTTTATTTTGTTAATTTTGATATTTATGGCTCGTAGCGAACAAAATCCCGGAATATAGCTTCTCATAAAATTAGAATATTACATAAGACCAATAATAAAGGGGAAAAAAATGCTGTGATGTGACGTGACGTTATGCCAAAGAAGCTGGCTCTTTATATAGAGCTACATCCAAGAATGGAAAGTTAAGTGGAAGGAAAAAATGTGCACAACTAACAGAGACAGCTGGAGTCTTGAGAGAGCTATGAAGTAAAGCCGATTGAAGTGTTTGAAGTAGATTCATAAGGTGCAGCTGGACTTGGAGTGTCTACCTGGACCAGTGGCTGTGTTTTAAAAGTCCACTTATTGGATAAATGTCATCATCAAATGTCAGTCCAGGACATCTTAGAGATCACGCTTCCCTCTACTATCAACCATTATAAACATACTGATTTCATATCCCAGCATAACTTCCAAGTATTGAATGAAACTGTACATTACATGGAGATACTTCTCACTTTGCTTACATTTCTGTTATCAAAATCCTTTTTCTTTTTATTTTTCCTGATCATTCTTATGTAATATTCCGATTTTCCAGGAAGCTGAATTCTGGGTTTTCATTTAGCTGTAAGCCACAGTCATCAAAATTCACACCGGCAAAAGCTCGAAACGTAGCAGCCTGTGTGAAATAAGTGGATGTAATAACTGAGTTTCCCCACCTTTTCGAGCTGAATTCCTGAAATAAATGCACCTTTTGATGGCATCCTCAGTCACGGGAGCAAAGAAGGTTGTTCTGCTGATGAGCTTTATCGTTTGTAGCCAGCTCTCCTCCAGCCCTCCTCTCCGGCCTCGCTCACATGTTTCTCTGCTTCTCCTCCCCTCCGTGTCTCTGTGTGCAGCGATCAACTTGCTGGGTCTGACGTGGCAGCTGAAGCCCTCTGACGGCCCTCTGTTAAACAACGGACTGGGAGCCGGTCTGCCTGTCAACAGTGACGTGGCCACACTGCCCTCTGGAGGCAGAGGTATGAACTGTCAGCTGCACACCCGACACCAACGAGGAGCACGGTAGCAGAAGAGGCGGGGAGGAAAAGGATGGAGATAATTATTTTCCTCCATTCTTTTCCTTTTGTTGTTGTTGTTGTTGCAATATTTTCAATGTGCTACATTAATTACTAAACATGTGCACTGCTCTCTTGTGAGGAGCTCAAATCGGTCCTATGCATAGCAGTCCTCTTCAAGAATCATACTTCGACCCATTTTTTTAAAAAACATAGCTCCATCTTCTGCATGAATAAACTGGCTTGAGCCTGTATTTGACCACATTTTCACTCCAGTTAGAAACGAGAGAAATATAGACGGGGAGTTGCAGGGGGGAGGGTACCTCTAAAAGCCGTATTTGCTCGGTAACACACAATTCGATAGATTTTTTTTTTTTTTTTTTTTTCCCACTCAAACACAGCCGCATCTGAAATATTGATGCGGCCGGTGACGCAGCACTGGATGCACCGTCCTGTTTTAAACACAGCGAGTTTGTGTCGAGCCCAGTTTATCTTTTCACTCGGCGGAGAGGTAAAAACTACCCTCTCTCACCTACTCTCTCTTTAAAGGGCCCCATGCGGCTTCCTATCTGTTCTTCTCTCGCTTTGCTCGGTGTGGCTCTGAAGCGCGCGTGCGTGCGCGGCGTGTGTTGTAGACGTGTTCAGGGGGGGCTTCTTGCTCTGTGTCTGTACAGTCGGCATTAATGAGTGGACTGTCGTGCTCCGTTCCCCAGCCATCTAGGCCAGATGCTGCTGCTGCTGCTGCTGTTGTTGTTGTTCTATACTCGCTGCTGCTTTTATTTCTTCACACACGCACACTTGCTCTCGCGCTCCGTCTTTTTCTGGCTGCACTCTGACACTCCTCCGTTAGATGGCTGACCTGATTGCAGGATGCCGCGTGTGTTTTTCTGTGTTTTTCGGCGCGCTCTGAAGTCTTGGCGCTGAGGTTCTGTCAGCCCTCTATCATTTCAGCCCAGACGGCGAAGTCAACGGTCCTGCAGGCTTTCAGGAAAAAGTTGTATGTCGAGCCCAGATGCAGAAGATTGCACGGGGAAAGCTGAGAATCCAAAGATCAAAAGTGCTGCTGATCCTGCATAACAAGTATAAAGAAAACCCAAAGTGTGATGGAAAAAGTACTTTTGCCCTCCTACAGATTTCTTCTAACTTGAGTAAATAAAATAAAAAAAATATTTTCAATTGATGAGTTGTAATAAGAGGCTTTGAGTCTTTAATATCACAGGCCTTTGAACCCTCCCATGATGCCATTTTGTCTTCGCTGACCTTGAATCATGAACACTGACCCCGAGCTGAGGCAAGTAGACATACTGTGCTGTAGATCTTTGTTCTTGGTTCTTTGGTGAAGTTGTTGATGTGCTCCTTGATAATTCGACTGCTCCTGGGAAGGTTCACCATATTTCCTCTATTTTGTGGATAATGGCTGTCAATGTAGTTTTCTGGAGTCAGTCAGCCTTAGAGATGAAACTCAGTCTTTCCAGACGGACTTCGTTTCTCGTCTTTTCTTCGGAGCAGGAAGTGCTGCTGTGTGAGGTTCTGTTCCCTGCTTCATGTTGTCACTAAGGTTCTGTTGAAGTATATATTTTTTCCTTATTAAACTAGCCTGGGTTTAGCTAGTAATCCTGAGCCAAAGTAGGTGGTTGATCACAGTTAATCCATGATTTAGAGGATTTGCTTTTGATGGTTCGAAAATTTCTTTGTAATCACTTCAGTACTTCAAATTGTCTTTTATAAATTTTAAAATTGGTTTCACCCAAAACACTTCAGTGTGTGAAAAAAAAGCAAAAACAGAAGAACTCTGTAACACAGCACTGCAATTTAAAAAGAAATCAAACATCAGCATAAAATAGTTTTATTTCATTATTTTAGGTACAGAAGTAATGAAATAGTGGTAGGTACTGCTCACTAAGATGCTGAGAGACTTCTGCTGCTTTGAACGACTTCAGGGTTTTCCGGTTGTTTTGCTTGGGGAGGTTTCTGCCATTCATCCTTCAAAAGGCTTATGATGCTTCTTTCATATGCGTTGCTCCTTTAAAGGGCTTTCCATACATTCCTGACGATATTCAGGTCTTGCGACGCTGAGGGACAGTTGCGAATCATTCCTCCTCCTATGACCTGTTGAGAGAGACTGTTGAGGATTTAAAGTATGCTTTTGAGCAATATCCTTTTATGCTGGTGTTTTCACAGCAGGGAAGTTTTCAGTAGTAACACTGCAATAGAGGACAAAAGTCGCAGGAGTTAAAAAATGAATAACGTTCCTGTTCATAAGCAAACTAGCACTATGGCCGCGTGGCGCAGCTAGCTGCAGCAGGATGTTAGAAAAGTAGCAGATAATGTTTGATTTAATGCTGCATACGAAAGACTTGAGCAATGCAACCCTTCAGAAGAACATATAGGAAGTTAACATATCTGGTGTTTTTTGTGTGAAACATACTCCTACAGCTGTCATCCTACTTGCATGCTAGCTAGCATAAGCCGTGTTTGCCAACAACATTTCTGGGAAATTTTGACTTGTTTTTCTTTTACACGAGACTCGGAGAGTCAAAAGTGACTGAATAAAAGCTTTTTGTGTGATATGTTGAATTTTTCATATTCTGTCATCCTACAACCTCAGGCGTTGTGGAGAATTTAAGTGATGGACCAACACAGAGTATCGGTTAACAGTGAAGGAGAAAATAATGCCTGATTTGCTAAATGTCTTTTTACAAACAAATGCGTAGAAACGTGTGGAATCCGCTTCTTTTTAGATCTGCATGAAGAGAAGAAGCCAAGATGATACTGAATATAATGTTGTGAACACAACACACATCATGCTGTTGGAATGCTGGTCAGTTTTTTTTTTTTTTTCTTTATAAGACAGATAGAGCAGAATCGAACCTCACAGCTGTACCATGACTCTGAATATGCACCCAGAGTTACAACATAATTGTTTACATCAAAGCTTAGCCATGTACTAGAACGGCCCAGTCAAAGTTGAGACTTGAAACCTGGAAAGTGAGTTTTCACAGACACCTCTTCATTCGTTCTGACCAGAGCTCGAACAAAGACCAACAAACAACTTACAAAACTTTCAGTGTCTCCATGTAAAAAGCTGAACAACCTCGAAAGGCTTCACTTTTTGTAATTGGTGAAGAAATAAAAGAAAAAAAATATGAATTGTTTCCTTTTAGCTGTACAATTAAGTGAAACTATGTGTTGGTCCGCACTGAAATACATTGCAGTTTTTGCACCGCTAAACACCAAACCTTATTGAGTAATTTTGTTTAAGTTTCTAGTGCAAATATCTCAGTAGTTTTGAAATAATACTAAACTAACTTACAAGTAATTTTCAGCAAGATATAGGGGCTTGTTCAAAGTCAATAATTCTTTAATATCGATGAAAAAGGACTAGTAGATTATTTCACTTATAACGTAGGAAAAATATTTTTTGAAATAATCTTCCATTGGAATTAATGCTATTTTTTTAATCAATATTAAGAAATTACTGCATTAAAACAACTCATATATTGTGCTGAAAAGACACTTTTACATTAGTTTTGTCTTATTTCACTTGTATTGGAAGCTGGACCAGAAATACTTGGTGAGATTCTGTGTTTTTGCAGTGTGGAAAAAACTCAAGATATGAAAAACGGGCATTTTCATTACCATTACTCAAGTACTAAAAACATTCTTTCTCTACCGTGTAGCTCTATGTTTTAGATCAGCTTTTCTTCACTAAAGAACGGTGTTTACATAAACTGTATTATCGCATATTACACCAGCCGTCCATTAAATTGCGCTTGTCATGACAGATGAAACAACCCTGTTGGTTTTTTGTCGTCCTCTCTCCCACTCAGGTCCGTGGGCAGGCAGAAACAGCAGCATAGACACCGGGAACATCGAGGTGGGCAGGCGGGTGACCCAGGACGTCCCCCCTGGAGTGTTTTGGAGATCCCTCCTCTATCTCAGCCAGCCGCAGTTCCTCAAGTTCAACATCTCCCTCGGGAAGGACGCCCTCTTCGGCGTTTACATCCGCAAGGGCCTGCCCCCCTCGCACGCGCAGGTACGATCCACTCGATCGAACTCATCCTGAGCACCTTTCAGGGAACACGACTGTTCCTATTCCTCGCTACGCAGACTTCACGGTGGGACTCCTGAGGGTGTTGAGCTTGGGAATAAATGTTCATTAAAAACATTTTTTGTTGCATCTGCCGTTTAAAAACATTAGTTATGAACTCCGAAAGCTAAATAATTTAGAGAAAAGATTTGCACTTAATTAGGTTTCACAGTAATACAACTTCAACTGTCTCTTGTTAATTAGTGGCTGCTCATTTCCAAATAGATTTTATAGAATAGGGATAATTTCCCTCGGTTAACTGCTTGACTGCCTGACATAGCTTAAGTTTGAGTCCATTGTGCTGAAGTAAGAACAGTTTTCCAGAGAGAACAAGGCCGCGCGTCGTACCGAGTTTTCTCCTTTCCTCTAACGCGACTGAAACACCTTGTATGTAGTTTAGGCTTCCATCATTACAGCATGTAACACGTTTGTATCATGCCCACCAAGCAGCTGGCCTGTTAAACTGTAACGAATGAAACGAGCAGGTGGCTCAGCGCTTTTTTTTTTTTTCTTTTTTTTTTTTGATGAATCAGTTGACCAAACAGAGCAGATTGGGATTTAGGAGAAAATGTCCTTAAATAACATGGATTAAAACACACCAAAAAAAGGTGGGAAAATCAAAACACAGTCAATGTATGTTGAATGTTTCTAAGCATGATTGTAATGAGTAGTTCGTGTCTTAAGTTTCTTCAGTTAGTATAAATCCAGATTAGTTGGTTCTGAAAGCTGAAGTTTAAAGCTGCTCTAAATGACTAAAGAGGAGTTTACCGTCCTAAATCGATATCGGTTTCAAAGACGTCATAGCAGTAAACGCAAATGCTAATGTATAACGCTTTAAGCTGTCCTTATTTTTGCATCGATCGGTCATTGGAGGCAGTGCGTCTCCAATTATCTTCCTACGTTAAACACAAATCGAGAGGGGAACACATAAAGCGCATCCTGTCAGAGAAACTCTGATAGATACGTACGGCGATGTAAAAATCAATCAATTAGTCTCCAGTTAGAGCACTTTTATATCTAACAGCTTCACTGACGGAAAATCCTTTTCATGTTCCGCTTTCGGGACGCGTTTCACGCGGGAAGATCATTAGTGGCACGTCTCCTCCAACTTCTATTCCCAATATAAATAATCCTCGGTTTTTATGTAAATCACAGCTTAAAGAAAATGTGACAAAAGGTCTCAGAATAGCGCTTAAACAAACGGCTTTGACACTGGAACTGTTTGAGGATAATAGAAGTCCGCTTTGGTGTTAGCCCCTCTAAGCCCCTAAGCGTTTGACTTCAGCCTCTGAGAGCGCCTAATTTGGATTCCTGCTAAACGAAGACACCAAAAAAACAAGTTAATCTACTTCACATGAGTTATTTACTGCTCATAACCTTTTATCAAATCACGAAAAAACGCTCACAAAACAGATTTCGCTTGAACCGAACGTAACCGTCCGTCAACGAAAACCTCTTCGCAGTACGACTACATGGAGCGCCTCGACGGGAAGGAGAAGTGGAGCGTGGTGGAGTCCCCGCGGGAGAGGAGGAGCATCCAGACCGTGGTCCTGAACGAGGCGGTGTTTGTCCAGTACCTGGACGCCGGCGCCTGGCACCTGGCCTTCTACAACGACGGCCGGGAGAGAGAGTCGGTCTCCTTCAGCACAAACGTCATGGGTGAGATAAAGAGAGGGAGAGAGAGAGAGAGAGTCGACGTCTTACTGCTGTGGGCAGAGGGGTGGAGGGAGGGCGGTGGGGAAATGTCGCAATGTAGCGCAGCTGTTTGGGAGCTGAAACGTGACTAACAGTCACAATTTAGGAGATAGCTTTAATACCAGTGACACTGCAATGCCTGAATGACTTCACACATTTCGAGTGTGTAAAAACACTCACCAGCAGCAGCATGTTGCAAAATGCTGCCAAAGCTATAGACCTGCAGTAGCATTGCTACGTAGGATGGACCACTTAGTGAGTTGGAGAGATTTTTTTTTTTGCCAAGAAAACATACTCTAACAAACATATGCATTCAGGAAAAAAATAAAGACACCCACAGATGTTTAGATATAAGATATTAATCGCCTCGTTCGGTATTAGGCTCGCTGGTGATGAACCGTATCGTCCGATCAGCCGGTGCAACGTGAAAAGACAATATGAAGCTGTGCAAAGTGAACGAATTTGGTTTCAGAGCTTGCAGAATGATTTCATATGTGCAGGGAGCCATGAGTGTGAGAACAAGGGGGGCAGATAGACTGAAAGAATCCTTCACTGTCAATATAAAGGAGCGAGAGAGAGAGAGAGCGAGAGCTCTCTGCTGCAGGAGTGTAGTGGAAAGATGAAGAGGTGGAGAGGTGGAGAGGTGGCAGGGATGGAATTAGAGCAAGTAGTAAGAATGGGAGATGGGGGGGAAGATGTAATGGCAGGGGGGAGAACCTGAATGCAGTGAAGTGGACTGGAGAGAGGAGGGGCTTTGGAGTGGAGTGAAGGAGAGGGTGGCATTAGGGTAAGAGGAAGACAAGGGGTTCACATTTAGGGGGGGAAAAAAGACTTGGGACACAGAGGAGGGGAAGCGTGGAAAGGCTGAGTACTCGTATTTGTTGGAGGAGTGCGAACTGGAAAAAAAATGGAGAGGAAGAAGAGACGGATGAAAGTCCAAAACACCCTCTTCGTGATTACCATCGACTCTGCGACTTCCCACCAAAACGGTTCTCCTCCCTTAAAGTGGGTTAAGAGGCACTGAAAGGCGTTGGAGAGCAGCTGGAGTCGTGTGTGACGCACCGCGGCTTCCGAGTCCGGCTGACTCTGCCCTTCAGTGCCAAACGGCCAAACCTGCACGAAGCATTAATGAACCAAATCCAGGCAGGAGTCAGGGATGAACGCAGCAGGAAAGGCAGGAAAAGGCAAGGCCGGAATGGCGAGAAAACAAACCACTTCTTTTTTCTTTTTCTTCTTCTTCTTCTTGTTGCAAGTTAGAAAAAAAGAAATTGCATGTAGGAAGCATTTTTTTCACCACAAGAACTTCCCCTGGGAAGGACACCAAGCTGACGCCCCAACGCGTTCATCTCCAAGTGAGGAAGTGGAGTCCTTACAAATTCATATAATAAGACTGAAATTAACCAGACTTATGTCAGTGGACAGTGGCCAGGGACGAGCAGTTAAGTGACGAGAAATGATTTTTGCCTCCTCTGAGTCGGTTCCAAACACTTTCCGACAAAGTATCTTTTGGGACAAACTTTTTAGCATCCTCGATTGGACGAGCGAATCAAGACGCGTCTGACCCTTGAACCTGTCTGTGTCGGTCTTCTCACAATCAAAGGGACGCTCCACAGTTGTGAAACTAGTTTCTGGTAAAACTTGGTTGGGTTTTTTTTTTTTTTGGGGGGGGTTCTGGGTTCTGATGCGGCCTGTGGTAGCCGAGGTGAAGGGTTCGTGGAGGTCGCCTCTAGAAAATGATTCGAAGTGTATTCTCGCCATACACTGACGAGAAGCAGAGAAGTGGAGTGGGGTGGGGGGGAGGCGGCGCGTGGAGTCCTGGCGGAGTGTGTTTGCTTTTGATGTCTGTGCAACATGGTGACTCGGAGCGCCTTCGGTTTTGTAGTGCGCTGAAGAATGAATGGTGCCAATGATTTAATGAAATGCTTTGATGCTTGGCATCGAACTCCCTGAACCCTCCCCTCTTTCTTTCCGTCTCACTCCGTCTCCCTCACAGATTCGGTGCAAGAGTGCCCGCGCAATTGCCATGGCAACGGAGAGTGCAACTCGGGCGTGTGCCACTGCTTCCCCGGATTCCACGGCATGGACTGCTCCAAAGGTATTAGTTGTGTACAAATCCCGTCAGGGAAGATCTTGTCATTTCCGGCGCCTAATTAGATGTGAAGACACATCCTCGGTCTCCGTGCGAGCGCCGAGAGAGGATTAAGAGCAGCAACATGGCGCATGGCCTTAGGTGAAGCTCAGACAAGATGACTGATGATGAATGGCAGCTCCCCGAGCTAACGACTCCCCGGCTCTGTGCTCACCTGGGATAGACAGCTCTGATGAATAGTTTAGTTACCTCTACTTGTAATTACTCTTTATGTCATTGGCGCTCTCCGCCCCCTTTAACCACTCTATTCGCTCTCCTGCCTGCTTGGGTGTGGATTTGCCCCATAAATCAACAGCAGCAGCAACAGAAAAGGCTTGCTAATTGTCTCTTTCTTTCCTCATATGCATGGTTTAATCTTTCCTCCTCCTTCTCCTTCTCCTCCTTCTTCTTCATTTTCTCTTCTTCTCCTCCAGCTGCTTGCCCGGTGCTGTGCAGCGGCAACGGCCAATACGACAAGGGTTCCTGTGTGTGTTACAGTGGCTGGAAGGGACCCGAGTGCGACATCCCCGTCACGCAATGCATAGACCCTCTTTGCAGCGGCCATGGCACCTGCACCGATGGAAACTGTGTGTGCTCCATCGGCTACAAGGGGCCGAACTGTGCAGAGGGTGAGGGTGGGCACTTTGTCTTCTAACGTGCATAATCTGTTTGAAAGTTTTAAAAGGAACTTGGATGTTTCAAATATTTTTGAAAATGAAAATATGTCTCGTAGCAGTATTTCACAGATAATAGGTCCCTAATCTGTGTCCAGATTTAGGGTCTGCATCCTTCGAAGGCTTCATTTGAAGACTGATTACACAACGGCGATGTAAATGCGGCCCAACAATTTATCACCCGTTTGAAGGAAGGTTCTGGTGTACGCTTGGACAAGGTGTCTGCGCATCCTTGAAAGCCTTGTGAAGTCGTGTATCTAAAATTAAGGCCTTCGAAGGTCTTAGATTCGTTTCTTTGAAATGTAAATTAATCTCAAATACGACGGTCACGGGTCTTAAATTTTGTGGCTGCATTACTATTTAGTCTCATGCTTTATGCAGTTTTTTATTTTATTTTCCTTGGGGAAATTTTTCTCAGGCAAAAGTCTGAGTCATGTGCAGACATCTTCTCCAGACTGTTGAGGCCACTGGTAGCAAACTGCTAATATGCCCTTGCTGGCTAGATAGCAAGTTCTTTTGCATCTATCATAGATGTGGTAAGTACAGAGTTAACACCAGTTGGTTGGATGACATTAGTCTTTGAAAGTGGTTCACCTCTGTTGCCAACCATATGAAGCTATTGGCATTCAGTGCAAAAAATCTTAGCATGTGGGTTCAGGTTGCTTTGCAAACTATGTGATTTTCTGCTGGTAATTTCCTGATGAAGTTCTTAAATTTCATTCGTCATGGACTTAAAAAGTCTTACATTTGAGTTATTGAAACCTATTTGAAGACTTTTCTATCCCAAGATTCATTGTGAGCAGAAGGGGAGTTTAGTTTTAAATACAGGTATATTCAAATCTGCAAAAATTAAGAGCTTAAGAAGTTGTGTTGTTAGGCTTTTGTCATCTGCAAAGACATGTTTTTTAGTATAACATTGTAAAGACTTAATTTAATTATTGCAATTGTTTATTTAATTAAATAAACTTCAAGAAGTAGTAAAAAAAAAATCAGCAAGATTTCAAGCTCCATTTTTACCGGCATTTGTTAACCTCTGTTACGGTTGCTAGGTGACAGGAAATATAAGGAGGGCAATTAATCAGAAGGCCAGATCATCCACTTTCATAGCCGCTCGACAAAGGACCCGACCCACATCGACCTTCGAAGGACCCAATGGTGTAGTCGGGTTTGCGTTGATGACATCACAACCGTTGAGCCAATCAGGTGTTATTAGCAAAGCATTAGCAAATAACACATTTTTGACAGACTCTGAAGCAGCAACGTTGCAAATTAACGTCTGAGCAACAACCTACAACACAGAAAATGAGAGCAACTGATCACGAGGCGTTATCTGCATCTAAAGTGAGCAGAAAAGCTTTGCTGCTAACTTCAAGTTCAACCAGTGACCCCTTCTAACTAAAGATAGTCTGCAAATTACAGCATAATCTTGTGCTGAGCAAGTGTTCGTTCCTGCTATTCGTAAAGATGAAGTATGACACCGCAGCTGAACACATCAGAGGTTTTATTAAGAGCTGAACTCGCTTCTATTGATCCTTGTTAAGACGGATCTGCATGGCACATTCTCCATCATCGGAGGCAAAGGAGAGGGATGAGAAAGGCGAGTCGGTGCGGCGAAAGGTGAATATCTAAGAAGTGAGAGAAAAAAGTGAGTTTTTGAGGTTGAAGATGAAGAGAAGAGGAAACAAAGGGCAAAAAAAAAAAGAAGTCAAATGACAAAAGAAGTCAAAAGAAACCTTAGAGGGCCCGAGAACAAGGTCAGCGATTTCGCTGCGTCTTCTTCATCCATCCAACCTCACCCCTCCTCCTCCTCTCATATCTGATATTCATCACGGCAGAGTCCCTCAAACAATTTACCTGAAGTGCCGGCGACATGAAAATCGATAACTGTGATCCGCCGTTTCTGCCGGGCAAACAGAAATGGAGAGGCCGGAGGTTATGTGCAGGCGTGTGCTTTTATTAATTTGTGTACAAAAAAAATAAATAAATAAATAAATAAAAGGGTACAACTGGGTCAGATATGCCCGAGGTGAGAGAGAGAGAAAGACTGAGAGGGGGTGGGGGTGCGTCAAACACGAAAAGACAAGGAGGGGAGAGAAATGGAAAAAGAAAAAGTGTGACCGGGACAGAGCAGTGACAGCCGGCCCGGAGAGGGGTGGGTGGGCGCTGTGCCGAGAGGAGGTAATTTGTCAAATTGGTTTTCACTCACTGCTCAAACTCACAGCTGCCCGTCAACCTGGCAGACTGACAGTGTCACATTTTCCCCCGTGTACTGCCACACACACACACACACAGTCAGAAATGCATCCTCTCTGAATAATGTCAGGGTTGTTTGGGGGGTTTTTTCCACAGAGGAAGATTCTCCCTCCCGTGCTCCCATTATACTTTTAGCTGTTTTTTACTGTGCGCCTTAATTGCTTTATTGAAACATCTGCTGATGTTTTCCTTCATTTCTATAATCCTCTTTTGCGTCTCACCAATTAAATTCTCGCCTTGTTTAAGCCTTTTCTTTGATAACTCATTTTACTATCTGCCCTGGTGTGCGATTTCGCAGCTTGTCTCAGTTTCCCTTCATCTGTTTGTTCCCTTCGTTTTTTTTTTTCTTCTTCTTTCAACGCTGTCGTATCTTTTTGGCTTTTTTAACGCAGTGGATTGCCTGGACCCGACGTGTTCCAACAACGGCATCTGCGTGAACGGAGAGTGCCACTGCAAGCCGGGGTGGGGAGGGCTGCACTGCGAACTGCCCAGGGCCCAGTGCCCGGACCAGTGCCACGGCCACGGCGCCTTCATCCCAGACACCGGCTTGTGCAGCTGCGACCCCAACTGGATGGGGCCCGACTGCTCCATGGGTGAGTAGTAGCAGCGCCGAACGGCTGAAAGAGACGAACGCTCCGAGCGAAGACTGACGGGTCAGGGTTTTTAGGAAACCGCCTACTCAGTCCCGACGTCTCGATTCTTTTTTTTTTTTTTTTTTTCCCATTCCCAGGGTACTTGACTATTAGTTAGTCATTTTATACCATGCTGTTCTGGTTTTCAAATTGGGCTTGGATGCAGTCCACTGAAATTAAAACATGCTGCGAAATAGAAATCAGCAACTGTTACAACGATCAAGCCAAGTTGGAGCATGTTGGAACACAATGTGGGAAGTTTTTTTNACAAATCGAGAGGGGAACACATAAAGCGCATCCTGTCAGAGAAACTCTGATAGATACGTACGGCGATGTAAAAATCAATCAATTAGTCTCCAGTTAGAGCACTTTTATATCTAACAGCTTCACTGACGGAAAATCCTTTTCATGTTCCGCTTTCGGGACGCGTTTCACGCGGGAAGATCATTAGTGGCACGTCTCCTCCAACTTCTATTCCCAATATAAATAATCCTCGGTTTTTATGTAAATCACAGCTTAAAGAAAATGTGACAAAAGGTCTCAGAATAGCGCTTAAACAAACGGCTTTGACACTGGAACTGTTTGAGGATAATAGAAGTCCGCTTTGGTGTTAGCCCCTCTAAGCCCCTAAGCGTTTGACTTCAGCCTCTGAGAGCGCCTAATTTGGATTCCTGCTAAACGAAGACACCAAAAAAACAAGTTAATCTACTTCACATGAGTTATTTACTGCTCATAACCTTTTATCAAATCACGAAAAAACGCTCACAAAACAGATTTCGCTTGAACCGAACGTAACCGTCCGTCAACGAAAACCTCTTCGCAGTACGACTACATGGAGCGCCTCGACGGGAAGGAGAAGTGGAGCGTGGTGGAGTCCCCGCGGGAGAGGAGGAGCATCCAGACCGTGGTCCTGAACGAGGCGGTGTTTGTCCAGTACCTGGACGCCGGCGCCTGGCACCTGGCCTTCTACAACGACGGCCGGGAGAGAGAGTCGGTCTCCTTCAGCACAAACGTCATGGGTGAGATAAAGAGAGGGAGAGAGAGAGAGAGAGTCGACGTCTTACTGCTGTGGGCAGAGGGGTGGAGGGAGGGCGGTGGGGAAATGTCGCAATGTAGCGCAGCTGTTTGGGAGCTGAAACGTGACTAACAGTCACAATTTAGGAGATAGCTTTAATACCAGTGACACTGCAATGCCTGAATGACTTCACACATTTCGAGTGTGTAAAAACACTCACCAGCAGCAGCATGTTGCAAAATGCTGCCAAAGCTATAGACCTGCAGTAGCATTGCTACGTAGGATGGACCACTTAGTGAGTTGGAGAGATTTTTTTTTTTTGCCAAGAAAACATACTCTAACAAACATATGCATTCAGGAAAAAAATAAAGACACCCACAGATGTTTAGATATAAGATATTAATCGCCTCGTTCGGTATTAGGCTCGCTGGTGATGAACCGTATCGTCCGATCAGCCGGTGCAACGTGAAAAGACAATATGAAGCTGTGCAAAGTGAACGAATTTGGTTTCAGAGCTTGCAGAATGATTTCATATGTGCAGGGAGCCATGAGTGTGAGAACAAGGGGGGCAGATAGACTGAAAGAATCCTTCACTGTCAATATAAAGGAGCGAGAGAGAGAGAGAGCGAGAGCTCTCTGCTGCAGGAGTGTAGTGGAAAGATGAAGAGGTGGAGAGGTGGAGAGGTGGCAGGGATGGAATTAGAGCAAGTAGTAAGAATGGGAGATGGGGGGGAAGATGTAATGGCAGGGGGGAGAACCTGAATGCAGTGAAGTGGACTGGAGAGAGGAGGGGCTTTGGAGTGGAGTGAAGGAGAGGGTGGCATTAGGGTAAGAGGAAGACAAGGGGTTCACATTTAGGGGGGGAAAAAAGACTTGGGACACAGAGGAGGGGAAGCGTGGAAAGGCTGAGTACTCGTATTTGTTGGAGGAGTGCGAACTGGAAAAAAAATGGAGAGGAAGAAGAGACGGATGAAAGTCCAAAACACCCTCTTCGTGATTACCATCGACTCTGCGACTTCCCACCAAAACGGTTCTCCTCCCTTAAAGTGGGTTAAGAGGCACTGAAAGGCGTTGGAGAGCAGCTGGAGTCGTGTGTGACGCACCGCGGCTTCCGAGTCCGGCTGACTCTGCCCTTCAGTGCCAAACGGCCAAACCTGCACGAAGCATTAATGAACCAAATCCAGGCAGGAGTCAGGGATGAACGCAGCAGGAAAGGCAGGAAAAGGCAAGGCCGGAATGGCGAGAAAACAAACCACTTCTTTTTTCTTTTTCTTCTTCTTCTTCTTGTTGCAAGTTAGAAAAAAAGAAATTGCATGTAGGAAGCATTTTTTTCACCACAAGAACTTCCCCTGGGAAGGACACCAAGCTGACGCCCCAACGCGTTCATCTCCAAGTGAGGAAGTGGAGTCCTTACAAATTCATATAATAAGACTGAAATTAACCAGACTTATGTCAGTGGACAGTGGCCAGGGACGAGCAGTTAAGTGACGAGAAATGATTTTTGCCTCCTCTGAGTCGGTTCCAAACACTTTCCGACAAAGTATCTTTTGGGACAAACTTTTTAGCATCCTCGATTGGACGAGCGAATCAAGACGCGTCTGACCCTTGAACCTGTCTGTGTCGGTCTTCTCACAATCAAAGGGACGCTCCACAGTTGTGAAACTAGTTTCTGGTAAAACTTGGTTGGGTTTTTTTTTTTTTTGGGGGGGGTTCTGGGTTCTGATGCGGCCTGTGGTAGCCGAGGTGAAGGGTTCGTGGAGGTCGCCTCTAGAAAATGATTCGAAGTGTATTCTCGCCATACACTGACGAGAAGCAGAGAAGTGGAGTGGGGTGGGGGGGAGGCGGCGCGTGGAGTCCTGGCGGAGTGTGTTTGCTTTTGATGTCTGTGCAACATGGTGACTCGGAGCGCCTTCGGTTTTGTAGTGCGCTGAAGAATGAATGGTGCCAATGATTTAATGAAATGCTTTGATGCTTGGCATCGAACTCCCTGAACCCTCCCCTCTTTCTTTCCGTCTCACTCCGTCTCCCTCACAGATTCGGTGCAAGAGTGCCCGCGCAATTGCCATGGCAACGGAGAGTGCAACTCGGGCGTGTGCCACTGCTTCCCCGGATTCCACGGCATGGACTGCTCCAAAGGTATTAGTTGTGTACAAATCCCGTCAGGGAAGATCTTGTCATTTCCGGCGCCTAATTAGATGTGAAGACACATCCTCGGTCTCCGTGCGAGCGCCGAGAGAGGATTAAGAGCAGCAACATGGCGCATGGCCTTAGGTGAAGCTCAGACAAGATGACTGATGATGAATGGCAGCTCCCCGAGCTAACGACTCCCCGGCTCTGTGCTCACCTGGGATAGACAGCTCTGATGAATAGTTTAGTTACCTCTACTTGTAATTACTCTTTATGTCATTGGCGCTCTCCGCCCCCTTTAACCACTCTATTCGCTCTCCTGCCTGCTTGGGTGTGGATTTGCCCCATAAATCAACAGCAGCAGCAACAGAAAAGGCTTGCTAATTGTCTCTTTCTTTCCTCATATGCATGGTTTAATCTTTCCTCCTCCTTCTCCTTCTCCTCCTTCTTCTTCATTTTCTCTTCTTCTCCTCCAGCTGCTTGCCCGGTGCTGTGCAGCGGCAACGGCCAATACGACAAGGGTTCCTGTGTGTGTTACAGTGGCTGGAAGGGACCCGAGTGCGACATCCCCGTCACGCAATGCATAGACCCTCTTTGCAGCGGCCATGGCACCTGCACCGATGGAAACTGTGTGTGCTCCATCGGCTACAAGGGGCCGAACTGTGCAGAGGGTGAGGGTGGGCACTTTGTCTTCTAACGTGCATAATCTGTTTGAAAGTTTTAAAAGGAACTTGGATGTTTCAAATATTTTTGAAAATGAAAATATGTCTCGTAGCAGTATTTCACAGATAATAGGTCCCTAATCTGTGTCCAGATTTAGGGTCTGCATCCTTCGAAGGCTTCATTTGAAGACTGATTACACAACGGCGATGTAAATGCGGCCCAACAATTTATCACCCGTTTGAAGGAAGGTTCTGGTGTACGCTTGGACAAGGTGTCTGCGCATCCTTGAAAGCCTTGTGAAGTCGTGTATCTAAAATTAAGGCCTTCGAAGGTCTTAGATTCGTTTCTTTGAAATGTAAATTAATCTCAAATACGACGGTCACGGGTCTTAAATTTTGTGGCTGCATTACTATTTAGTCTCATGCTTTATGCAGTTTTTTATTTTATTTTCCTTGGGGAAATTTTTCTCAGGCAAAAGTCTGAGTCATGTGCAGACATCTTCTCCAGACTGTTGAGGCCACTGGTAGCAAACTGCTAATATGCCCTTGCTGGCTAGATAGCAAGTTCTTTTGCATCTATCATAGATGTGGTAAGTACAGAGTTAACACCAGTTGGTTGGATGACATTAGTCTTTGAAAGTGGTTCACCTCTGTTGCCAACCATATGAAGCTATTGGCATTCAGTGCAAAAAATCTTAGCATGTGGGTTCAGGTTGCTTTGCAAACTATGTGATTTTCTGCTGGTAATTTCCTGATGAAGTTCTTAAATTTCATTCGTCATGGACTTAAAAAGTCTTACATTTGAGTTATTGAAACCTATTTGAAGACTTTTCTATCCCAAGATTCATTGTGAGCAGAAGGGGAGTTTAGTTTTAAATACAGGTATATTCAAATCTGCAAAAATTAAGAGCTTAAGAAGTTGTGTTGTTAGGCTTTTGTCATCTGCAAAGACATGTTTTTTAGTATAACATTGTAAAGACTTAATTTAATTATTGCAATTGTTTATTTAATTAAATAAACTTCAAGAAGTAGTAAAAAAAAAATCAGCAAGATTTCAAGCTCCATTTTTACCGGCATTTGTTAACCTCTGTTACGGTTGCTAGGTGACAGGAAATATAAGGAGGGCAATTAATCAGAAGGCCAGATCATCCACTTTCATAGCCGCTCGACAAAGGACCCGACCCACATCGACCTTCGAAGGACCCAATGGTGTAGTCGGGTTTGCGTTGATGACATCACAACCGTTGAGCCAATCAGGTGTTATTAGCAAAGCATTAGCAAATAACACATTTTTGACAGACTCTGAAGCAGCAACGTTGCAAATTAACGTCTGAGCAACAACCTACAACACAGAAAATGAGAGCAACTGATCACGAGGCGTTATCTGCATCTAAAGTGAGCAGAAAAGCTTTGCTGCTAACTTCAAGTTCAACCAGTGACCCCTTCTAACTAAAGATAGTCTGCAAATTACAGCATAATCTTGTGCTGAGCAAGTGTTCGTTCCTGCTATTCGTAAAGATGAAGTATGACACCGCAGCTGAACACATCAGAGGTTTTATTAAGAGCTGAACTCGCTTCTATTGATCCTTGTTAAGACGGATCTGCATGGCACATTCTCCATCATCGGAGGCAAAGGAGAGGGATGAGAAAGGCGAGTCGGTGCGGCGAAAGGTGAATATCTAAGAAGTGAGAGAAAAAAGTGAGTTTTTGAGGTTGAAGATGAAGAGAAGAGGAAACAAAGGGCAAAAAAAAAAAGAAGTCAAATGACAAAAGAAGTCAAAAGAAACCTTAGAGGGCCCGAGAACAAGGTCAGCGATTTCGCTGCGTCTTCTTCATCCATCCAACCTCACCCCTCCTCCTCCTCTCATATCTGATATTCATCACGGCAGAGTCCCTCAAACAATTTACCTGAAGTGCCGGCGACATGAAAATCGATAACTGTGATCCGCCGTTTCTGCCGGGCAAACAGAAATGGAGAGGCCGGAGGTTATGTGCAGGCGTGTGCTTTTATTAATTTGTGTACAAAAAAAATAAATAAATAAATAAATAAAAGGGTACAACTGGGTCAGATATGCCCGAGGTGAGAGAGAGAGAAAGACTGAGAGGGGGTGGGGGTGCGTCAAACACGAAAAGACAAGGAGGGGAGAGAAATGGAAAAAGAAAAAGTGTGACCGGGACAGAGCAGTGACAGCCGGCCCGGAGAGGGGTGGGTGGGCGCTGTGCCGAGAGGAGGTAATTTGTCAAATTGGTTTTCACTCACTGCTCAAACTCACAGCTGCCCGTCAACCTGGCAGACTGACAGTGTCACATTTTCCCCCGTGTACTGCCACACACACACACACACAGTCAGAAATGCATCCTCTCTGAATAATGTCAGGGTTGTTTGGGGGGTTTTTTCCACAGAGGAAGATTCTCCCTCCCGTGCTCCCATTATACTTTTAGCTGTTTTTTACTGTGCGCCTTAATTGCTTTATTGAAACATCTGCTGATGTTTTCCTTCATTTCTATAATCCTCTTTTGCGTCTCACCAATTAAATTCTCGCCTTGTTTAAGCCTTTTCTTTGATAACTCATTTTACTATCTGCCCTGGTGTGCGATTTCGCAGCTTGTCTCAGTTTCCCTTCATCTGTTTGTTCCCTTCGTTTTTTTTTTTCTTCTTCTTTCAACGCTGTCGTATCTTTTTGGCTTTTTTAACGCAGTGGATTGCCTGGACCCGACGTGTTCCAACAACGGCATCTGCGTGAACGGAGAGTGCCACTGCAAGCCGGGGTGGGGAGGGCTGCACTGCGAACTGCCCAGGGCCCAGTGCCCGGACCAGTGCCACGGCCACGGCGCCTTCATCCCAGACACCGGCTTGTGCAGCTGCGACCCCAACTGGATGGGGCCCGACTGCTCCATGGGTGAGTAGTAGCAGCGCCGAACGGCTGAAAGAGACGAACGCTCCGAGCGAAGACTGACGGGTCAGGGTTTTTAGGAAACCGCCTACTCAGTCCCGACGTTTCGATTTTTTTTTTTTTTTTTTTTTCCCATTCCCAGGGTACTTGACTATTAGTTAGTCATTTTATACCATGCTGTTCTGGTTTTCAAATTGGGCTTGGATGCAGTCCACTGAAATTAAAACATGCTGCGAAATAGAAATCAGCAACTGTTACAACGATCAAGCCAAGTTTGAGCAAGTTTGGAACCAAAGTTGGAAATTTTTTTTTTTTTTTTTTTTTCCACTGACAGTAACAGTATGGAGACGGGGGATCTTTGTGTTATTAATACAGTGCCGATCCAAATCTTAAAGTATGGAAAGAAATTAACTTGTGCAAAACTTTTAAATCACTACTTTAAAGTGGGGGAAGTGAAGATTTTTTTCTTAGACTTATCCAGTGCAGTACGTGTTTGCTTTGTGATTTGAGGTTCGTCTGTGCCCCACCTCTATTTTCTTGTCTGAACACCCAAAGTAAGATGCAACCAATTGTTTGCAGAATTTTCTTGATCACTACACAGAGCCCACCTGTGGGTAACTGCGTCACAGTAAACATATTCTGACTGTGAAACATGGCGGTGGCAGCATCATGTTGTGGGGATGTTTTTCTTCACCAGCTGTAAAAGAGTTGAGACTGAAGTAGAGGTTCACCCTCCAGCAATGCATTGACCCAAATCACCCAGTTAGAACCGATTAGATTTAATATATGCTTGTGTTAGAATGGCCTAGTCAAAGTTCAGACATGAGTCCCATTACATTATTAAGTAAAATCAATGTTATGTTATAATATTATTCTTCATAGAAAGATAACATACCTCACAAAGCAGCCGTCCTCTGTGAATCCCTCACTCGGCTCCTCCAGACTAGCAGCAGCAGCGCTTAGCAAACACCTGGTGGAAGTGTGTATCTGCTGAGCTCATTACGCAAGTTACCTCTCAGTCCTACACTCCTAAGAATGTCGCTGTAGGCTTAACGGAGTTACGCCGTTGTGATGACGTGTTGAAGGCAGAGTGTCAGAAAGAGCAGGTGCTTCTTAAAGAGACAGAGGCCCAATTTCAAGATGTCAAATTGCGATGTCAAGCTTGTTTCAAGTGAGGTTTGACATATACAGCATTTTTATAACACAGTTACTTAATCGTGCTATGCAATGGCACTATGAGCATTCAAAGTAGATAACACTGTCCCTTTAAGAACATATGGAAATATTTGAAATCCTGATCCAGTTTAAACGATAAGCTTAAGCAAAGCTCCAGAGACAAACCTCAAACAACTGCAGTAAATAAACAGCTGGATTTTATTTAAGGTAATGGAGTACAGTGGGCTAACTACAAATGCATGCCACACTTTTCAGATTTATATACGTAAAATGTGTAATTATTTTCTGCTGGTTTGTCACACAATACACACACTGTACTTTCCTTTTTTTTAAACAGCCACATTTCTCTCTCAATGAAAGCCAGCGGTAAACTCTTCCACTGAAACAGATCCCGCTGCCTCCTCCTCGGCGGCAGCGCAAGAACGTCGCTTGCTTCTTACAAGCAGAGCTCCCGACGTTCGTCGCAAGCAAAACTGCTTAACTTTAATACAGACAACAGTGTCTGCCACCGCGGGACTCCTCCGCAGACGTGTATCAAAACGTCTGCTCACCGGGGGGTCCCGAGCTCACAGACGGAATCGTCACATCTCACCGCACACACTGCCGCTGCCTGCGACGCCGCAGACAAAAGGCTTGGAACATAAAACGTTATCTTAAAGATGTTGTCGCCCACTTTGACTAAAGATGCAGGACGGGAGATTGAATCAGCAGCTAATCTGGCTCATTTTTTAGTCTTTTTGAAACAATTTTAGGGTTCTTGTTCATTGCAAAACAGAAGAAAGGGAGAACTTAAATTTGGGTTCGGTGACCACCGTCTCAAAGGGTGTCAATTCCAGCTCTGCTCTGGGTAGCCAAAAAGACTCATAAATAAAATTACAAAAGAAAATAAAAATATGCAAAATGCAATCTGAAAAGTTGTGCGTGTGCGACCCAGATTTGTCTCATCCGCTTGCAGAGGTTTGCTCGGTCGACTGCGGGACCCACGGCGTGTGCATGGGCGGGGCGTGTCGCTGTGAGGAAGGCTGGACCGGGGCCGGCTGCGACCAGCGCGTCTGCAACCCGCTCTGCATCAAACACGGGACCTGCAAGGACGGCAAGTGCCAGTGCCACCAGGGCTGGAACGGCGAGCACTGCACCATCGGTAGGTGTTTCCTGTACCTCCTCACCCCGAGCGTGTGTGCGTGTGTGTGTGTGTGTTTTTGTTTTGTTTTTTTGTTTTTTGGTGTGTGTCGACACCGTGGGTGAACACAGAAAACATCCAGTCAGACTGAAGTGGCAGCTTCCTTATTATTTTATTTTATTTTTTTTTTTTCCTTCCATTTTGTTAGATGGATTTGGAAATGAGAGGTGGAGGCGCAAGCAAAAGCTACAGGGAATTCAAGGAGAGGGCTGATGTAGAGAGGGGCGGGTGAAACGAAGCGGAGAGGAATAAACTTCTGAGGAGTGAGGGTGGGAGGATTACAAAAGAGCAGGGTTTAGTTGTTTATAGTCTGCCTCTCAACTGCACACCCAGGAGTTTTAGTTCTTCTATGGCCTTTGAAACACCAAAGTTGTGTTATGAAAGGCAAAACTCTGCAACATACTGTGATCAAAAAATAACTCTCAGATTCTCCGTGTGGGTACGTGTGTGTGTGTGTGTGCAGAGTCATCGTAGAGTGTGTGCGTGCGTGCGTGTGCGTGTGTGTGTTTTTTGTCAGTCAATCACTGTCTCATATTGACATCAATGTCACTTTGGATGGATGACTGCCAGATCCCTTTGATTCCTTCACACTACTCCGAGACACAAAGTCTCCTTTCCCCTGTCACCAGAGGCGCTGTGATTGCAGCCCGCCAAACAAACACCAAAACACACACCTACATACATGCACGCACACCCCAGCACATACATATGCACGGGGGAATAGCGGTTTATGATCTCCCCGTTTCCACCCCACCCACCCCCCCATCAGAAAGTAGGGCAGCTTTGACTGCAGCATCAGCCTGAGATGAAAGAGTTGTCAGGCCTCAGCTTGAGCGCAAAAAAGCACACTTCACCAGCACCAGACATCCTCAGTGTTAGCTTATCGCAGCCTGCCTGTTCTGTATTTCAGCTCTGCATGATGTTGCTTGCATTTATTTTAAAATTAAAAGCAAAAAAACAAAAAAAACAACATACTCTCCCTCCAACATTTACCTTCTGCACGTTTTCTCCCACTGCAGACCATGGGAGCATGGTTGACAAAGCAGGTACCGTATCTGACTCTGGTGTTTCTGTTTCTTAGCCTGTGGTGGTAGAAGCTAGCTGCTGCATTGGCCTGGCTTGGCTCCGTAGACTCTGTGGTGCTTTTCTGTCCGTGGTAGACCAGAGGTGCCTGCCTCAATGACGACTCCCCTCCGTGCGGTGCACTACCCCTCTCCCACCCCTCTTTTGTTTTCTCGCAGTGCACTGCAGCAGGGTCCTAGCTGTCATTGAGCCCTTCGTGTGTCGTGGGGTGACCGTAGAGCCCTGGTGTGGTGGTCCCGAAAGTGCCGAGGGGGCTGTGCTGTGGGTGTGTGGTTGTGCATGCGTGTGTGGGGCGTGTGTTCCCCCCCCCCGGTACGGGTGCGTCTCATTACGTTGGGGTGTCGTTAAAAAGCCAATTCATTTCAGTAATTCAATTCAAAACGTGAACCTCAGATGTTGTATGGATTCATTACACGCAGGGTGATATAGTTTTAGTGTTCATTTCAACTTGATAGTTTTGGCTTATGGCTAATAAAAACCCCCAAAATTCAGCTTCTGAGGAAATTATATGAGTCGTATAATAAAGACTTTGTGGAAATGTTGTTTTACGGCCTCAACAGTCATTGGGAAGACTGCTTGACCTACACAGGTACGAAACCAAAGGTTATTGCTAAGGAAGCCAGCTGTTCACAGGCTGCTCAATCCAATGGGAAGTGAAATGGAAAGAAAAAGTTTGAACATGCAGTAGGGATAGGTGCAGTTTTGATGGAACTGAAATAAAGCCCATTCAAGAGTTTGTGGGAGATTCAAACATCTGGACTGCAGTTGCAATAACTGAATCAGTCAATCTATCGAGTTTATTTGTGTAGCATACTTCAACAACACAGCATTTCAAAGAGCTTTACATTGTAAAAGCATTAAAAAAAGCATCATGAACACAACATATATATCAAATTATGATCTATACACAAGTGTCATCATTAAAATCATCACTACATGTCAAATATGTTGGTTAATGTTCCATTTATCTTGGTTCAAAAGTAACTCTAAACAGGTGAGTTTTTAGTCTTAATTTAGGTTTTCTAGAAGTTTGTTCCAGATTTAATGTGCCTAGAAGCTGAATGCTGCTTCTACCATATTTGCTTCTGATTCGAGAGCACATGCAGAAGTATCTAGAACATCTGGTGCCACTGAAGCCTTCCTTTTGTCGAGCCACGTCTGAACCAGATGCAGGATCAGAAACGTCTTACCAGGGGCTAAAGAGTGAAAGGGATTGAACTGTTGCTCAGTGATCCAAAGTTCTCTTCTCAGATAAAAGCAAAATTTGCATTTCATTTGGAAAATCAAGGCCCCACAATCAATGGGCATTAAGGCTATCAGCCCTGGACAAGCTCAGGCCTTGAGCTTGTCTGCATTGTTGGATCTGCCGTCTCTCAATTTTTTGGTTCACCGTCTCTGAGCTGTACATATTGGTGTTTTTGGCATGTAGGGTGAAAACATGGTGATCAAACCAGGTACTGGCAGAGCGGGGAGGTGTGAAGTCCTGCTCTCAGTAAAGCTTGTCAGCTGTGGGAAGCATGAAGTGCTCTAAAAGACTCTGGCAGGTGGCTGCACTGACTTGTGTTGGTCCATCTACTATTGGGCCAATCAACACCAGCCCCTCAAATCATTACTGACAGTGGGGATGTCGCATTGGACCTCAAGCAGCTCAAATGCTGTGCTTCCCGTTTAATTCCACCTGGAAAGATTAGACCTCCGAGCAACAGTTTAGTTCTTTTCCTGCCTTTGCTAAGCTTTGACACTTCTTATGTCGTCTCTACTTTGGGATTGACTTAACACAAGAAGCTGAACATTTATGGCCCAAGTCCTTGTTACTTTGGTGTGTGGTGACTCTTGAAGCACACTCTACACCCGATGAATCTAACCCAAACTTTTAAATGGGCACATTCTTTCCTTCCACAAAACTTTCCCATAATGAGCTGGGCTGCAGCACTGTGTGCGTGGCCAACTTCTTCAGCGACAATATTTGGTTCTAACGTTCTGCCTGAGAGAATCAATTATTTGGGGGCAACTATTAAATCCCTGTGATTTTGTAGGCCAAAAAGTTTTCTTTAAAGGTCTTCTTTTCTAAAAAGATTATTAGCTATGAGCCGTAATTATCAAAATAAGCTGAAATACACAGTGGAAATGTATGAGGTTTACATTCTGAATTAAATTAGTGACGTAAATAAACTCTTCAATGATATTCAAACGTATTGAGACTCACCTGTGTGTCCAGTGTGAAACCCTGAACAAACCAAGCACCAAACACTCAGCTATTCCAGCCATGTATCACGTAAACACAAGAGCTTCACACATAAGGAGAAAACGATCAAAGTCGTGGCGAACTTTTGAGGTAATTGGTAAATTTCATAGGCCACTGATGCAAGGCGTTAACGTGGTGTCAAAAAAAAAACACTGCAGAACTGTTAAGTGTGTGTGTGTGTGCGTGTGTGTGTTTACATTTTGAGTATTTGTGGCAGCGGCCGTGGTGGAGCGGCTACTAAATTCATCCCACTTGCATGTGTGTCGGCTCGCATCGTTGGCATTAATTCCAGCCCTTCGATCTGTTTCATCAAGCCAGGTCGAAGCAAGAAAAACCGCAGGTTACGTAGTCCGTCAGATCACACGCAGGGACACTCAGAGCAACAGCTTAAGGTCGAGAAATCGAGGCAAACAGAGAAGACTGCGAGTCCAGGGTGACTTTTCTCGCACTCTCTCAGCGAGAATGCTTATTAGATAGCCCCGCAGCTGAACCTCCGTCAGGTTGCGCAGAGCGGCACAGATTGCCTGACAGCTCAGGTCCCTGGAGCAACGTTGAGAGTGTCCTCTCAACCCTCTGCACTTAATGGAACAGCTCTCATTGTTTTATGAAGAGCCAGCTCAGAGAAAAAAGGTAAATTGCCGGGTTAAAGACGGAGCAAGACACGGAACGACGGAGGGGGAAGAAACAAGAAGCAAAGGGACATTCCTGAAGTTCTTAGGGTAGCTTATTAAGGACAGGAGAAGTAGATGAGTGGAGGTTTGTTTTAGAAGTTATCCAGCCCATCTATAGGATGCAACGGTGGATTTATGGCGGTAACCTTTTACTTGGTGACCTTTAGAGCAGGCGGAGTTGGGCGCACGGGGACCGAATGGGAGGAAAAATACAGCAACTTTTTACTACAGCGTCTCGACTTAGTTTCTTTCTTCTCCTTCACTCTTTCCTCGGCTAGCCTTTCTCTTGCCCAGTAGCCCCCCCTCATTCATTCTCACACAATATCTATCCAGTTATATACCCCATCATCCAGTCCCACAGATACCGCATACCAAACAAGTGTGTGTGTGCTCGTGTGTGTGCTGGCCCATAACCCAAGGCAATTTCTTCTCCTTTTTAAGGGGATTTCATCAGAGTCCAACTACATTACTGAGGAGGGTGGGCTTAATAGTTTCTGAAATCCCACTTTATTCTACTTAGTATGGGGGGAGTATTGACTGGGTCCTGACATTAAAGAGAGAGGAGCCTTATGCGAGGCCTGCCCAGGCAAGCCAATCAATGCCCGCTATGGATTGTCCTGTCCGGGTGCTTCATAAGTATTTGGCTGCTTTAAATGGCAACTCCATTTAACAGGCAATCACTGCTAACTGCCTTTGTTCCCCGAGCTCAATACTCGGGGACAATCTATTCCAGCCTGACTGTTAATGCGCCATCATGAGCGCTCCCCTGATGCCGAGAATGCTAATAATTAAAGATAAAACCTTTGATTTGATTCCTCTTGTTGAGCTGAAAACTCGGCCTGAGCCGCTCCGCTCCGCCCCTCCAGGTCTTCCCACCCCGCAAAACAAGATGGCGGTTATCCTCGAAGTCCCCCTTTTCCTTGACTCGCCCCCTCTACACCCCCCACTCCCCACCCCTCCGTCAGCCGCCCCGGCCGGTTTGAGACGTGATAAAACGCCAATCGGGGTGAAATGCCTGTTAATTTTAGCCGCTGCCTCGGTTTAGATTGCGCTATTTGTATTCATAATGCATGGCTTTATTGATGCAGCGATTTGTCGGAGGGCAAAATCCTGCAGCGCAACTTGAGTGAAAATATGTTCATTAATCTGCTGAGCAGGACTCGGTAAAAAGCATTTCATATTCATAATCTCTCACTGGGTTATTTTGTCCGTCCTCGCTCGGCGGCGGGCGCGATGCCGCAGAGTGAGAAATGCCAGGTCATATCTCCCGGGTGTGTGTGCGTGTGTGTGTGAGTTGAGTGCTTTTTGTGCATGTGTGTATTGTTTTATCAGTCAACCTTGTCTTTGCACTTCATCTCCCGTGGGTAGACTTTGGAGTGTTGCGTCCCGTTCCTTCATTTATTGGTGAGGAAATCACTATGACAAGTTTGTTTAGGGCTCTTTTTTTTTTCTTTTTTTTTTTAGGGGGAAAAAGAAATAAAACACTGACATTATGTCACATCAGTCCTTGAAAAATTCTAATGAGGAAAATGCGCAGTGGTAAAAATGTTTGATTTAGACAGGCCAAGCAAGAATTGAAAGCTTTCTTTAAAAAAAAACAAAAAAAAAAACACAACATTCCTGTCTGTCGCTGTCTTGGCCTGCAGTCAAATTATTAAACCGAGCTTAAACACTTCCTGTTGGGCTTTCATAGCCCAGACTATTTATTTCATGTCATTTAGCAGGCCCTCTACGGACATAGCCAAGTGAAATTAATACATGACTAATCTTGACTGACTAAATTAACGTTGGGGGATATGCTTTAGCTGATACGCTGCCACGAGTTCGACGAAAACATTGATGCGATCTCATATCTGTCTGCATCGAGCTGGAGCCAGCAGTTAGGCTGCCTAGATTAGCATATAGACTAAAAACAGGGAGAAAGAGCCCTGCCAAAGCCATAAAAGTGCTCTATGTGAAGAACAGCAGATTTGTTTTAAAAGGATTGCTTGGTTTTTGAAGTGGCGCGTTTGCAAACTGTGTTTTAGGCATTATTTTAACTCCGGTAGACAAGTCCTAAGTGATCTCGGGGATTATTAGCAGGATTATTATTTAGGTATCAAGCAAACAGAGATGCACAAACAGTCGACTAAGATAGAAAATGTTCACCAATTAAAACAGGAAAGTCAAACTCATTTTCTTTTTGGGACAAATCAACATCGCGAAGGTTCACAAAGGGCCGGTTGTGTCAGAACAAACTGAATAAAATCCGCTAACAAACCGTTAAAATAGTCATGTTAAGACTATTATTATTAAATGTTAAATTACATTAAAGCATTAAAGCGAATTGATAAGTTCTTCTTAACGTTAAATAATGTTTAACATCTCGGACTGATGAGTCTATTCAGGATTTCATGTTTCTTTTTTAGAAACAATTTGCATTAAACTCAGTTACACATTAGCTCAACAAAGAGCAGGGATCAGTTGATTTGTGTGGATTTATGTGAATTTTTAAAAAATTACTGATGTATTTTGGCAATATAAAGATGATTTATATCATATCCCTTTGAGATTAATACAGTATTTTTGAATTTGAACTTTGAAAATCATCTTTGATCTGATAAAATAATTGTTATCTTAAAGGTTTTATTTATGCGTCCGTCTGGAGTTTAGAGAGACGCATGAATTGCGATGGCAGCCTGGACTTGGAGTTTGACATTTGATTTAAAATATATCGACCTCAAAGCTTCATTGATCTGTAGAGTCAATGATCGTTTAAGTATTTTTGCAGCTATAGTTTGGATTTTGTTTTACAGTAATTGTGACTGCGGCAAATCACGGGCAGCATCGTTCTCGATTCTGCTTGCTGACTGTTTAAAACTACTCAACACAACCCCGCCCGATGTAACAAACAAGACCGATTACATGCAGGACACCGAGTTAACATCTTGTGATATTTTCTTCTGCTTCACCTGCAGAGAGTAACGGAAGCCAAAGGAGTTACTGCGGAGGCTAAAACAAACGTACCACTGATTAAATCCACAAAGTTTTCCCAGCTACTCTTCTGGTTTGTGTTTTAATAACATTCTAATACGTTACATCCTGAGTGGTGCTTCACCTGATTTCAGTCTTTATGCTTAACCAAGTAGAGCAGGAACTAAAAAGAAAGAAGAAGCCTGTGCATTTGGTATCATTTCTTCTTCTAATAAAGTATCTTGTGATGAAATATAATTTCCATATTTGTCCTCTATTAAAACCAGAGCATAGCAGATAGTGTGACTATGAGGAAGATATTACTGTCCTCTGTAATTGCCGCCTTTATTTGCCTCAAAGTCACTGTTGAGTTTGGAGAGCTCTCGCCTTGCTGGTTCCAGACTCGCTTGGCTCTCGGGCCTCTGATTCTGCTGGCGGGGGGGTGGAGGGGGTTCTTTTGCATAAGCTTAAGTAAAGGTTTATTAGTTCATAGACTGCATATACACGCACACACACATGCACACAAACGCTCAGACACGCACAAACACACACACACACACCGTCAAACATAATCTCATTCTCTCATGAGAAAGCATTACTCTCAGGCCATCAGAATCCCATTACCCACACTGAATCATAAATAGAGGGAGAAGGAGAGTGATGATCGGGTGGGGTTCCATCCAGTAAGCGAATAACGTAATCTATCCACCTCGGTCCGCACACGGACGGACATTAGCAGCCGTTGTTTTCGGTTTAGAGCCGGAACGAAAGACGTAAGTTTAAAAAAAAAAAAAAAAAAAAAAAACCCTGACCCGCTGACTTAAACGGATTCCTAACCAGCCGGCATCTCGACGGTTGTTCATCTGTGTGTCGTTAATTATGAAACAAGTATCCCTCTGTTCTCTCTCTCTCCTCTCTCTCTCCTCTCTTCTCAACCCCTCGTTCCTCCTGTCGTCTTCACCCAGACGGCTGTCCCAACTTGTGTAACGGGAACGGCCAGTGCACCATGGGTCAGCAGAGCTGGCACTGCGAGTGCCAGACAGGCTGGAGGGGCCCCGGATGCAGCGTTGCCATGGAAACCTCCTGCTCTGACAACAAGGACAACGAAGGAGGTGAATTCAAGAGCGGCGGTATAAAATTTTTGCGGCGAAGCGGTTCGTAAGTGCCCCTACAAGAAGAAAAGGGAAAAAAAAAAACAGAAAAGATATCGAAAAAAAAGAATGGATGATAGAGAGAAAAAATAAGTAAATTAGAAAAGAAATAGAGATCTCAGGAGAGGCGTCGTCTCCAGGGACGGCAAAAGTAAACTTTTTTTTTTATTTTATTTTATTTTTTATCAGAGACACCAGCGTTAGATTGTATTAACGAAGGATTCATGAAAGCTTAATGCTCTTTGCTGTCCTCACGGCTCCCTCTGCCCCTCTTTCAGACGGACTGACGGACTGCATGGATCCAGACTGTTGCATCCAGAGTCCCTGTCAGAACAGCCCTCTGTGTCGGGGCTCCCGGGACCCCCTGCTGGTCATCCAGCAGAACCCCATGTCCCAGCCTCGAGTCAGGTCTTTCTACGACCGCGTCAAGATGCTGGTGGGACGGGACAGCACCCACATCATCCCCGGGGAAAACCCGTTCAACTCCAGGTACGGCAAGCGAAATATGTTGAGGCCCAATAACAGGCAGAAAGGCATGCTATTGCTAATGAAAATAGGGGATATGAACCAAAAGAGAGTGATTATCTTAAAACCAAGTGTGTAAAAAGTAGACCTGCCACGATAAGAAATTTAGCTGATAAATTGTCTCAGAAGTTGTTGCGATAAACGATAAAATTGTTGATTAGAGACCGAGATATATAATGTAAGCACAGATTCTCAAAGATCAATAAACCTCAGATTATATTTAACATTTAATACTGGAACCAAAAAAACATTTTAGAAATCCGAAATAAATCAACAAAACAACAGAAGCAACAAATGAAACAAATTATTAAATCTCTGCAAACAAAAGCAAAAGGAATAGTTGAGACCGAAGCACCAGACTGAAGACTTTCGTCATCCAGGTTTTGGTAGAAAGAGAAAAATGGTAAATCATGCAAATGGAAAATTTATATTAGTTTATCGTGCAATTAATCGATTTATTGCTTATCGCGACAGGCCCGGTAAAAAGCACGTCTTCGACGTTGCTATGTTCAAAATTTGGAAAATCAAACTTAATTTATCACAAGTTACATATATATTAGTTATATAATATGTTATATGCTGGAGTGTCTTGCAAAAATATTCATGCCATGTGAACTAATTAGCATTTTGTCTCTTTACAACCATAAACTCTAATGTATACTTGAGGGATTTTATTTAATGAAACAGTGTGAATACATAGTATTTTCAAAATGAATATCTGAAAAGTATGTAATTATTAAACCAGGTGCAACAAATCACAGCTGAAGTCACCAAAGTGGACGATTAATTAATCCACTTTTTCTTCTCCCGTCATGTAAAAATCCTAATAAAACCCATTAGAGTTTGCGGGTCGTTTGTACAAAGGCACAGCTTAGCCACCCACAGCTGCGGCGAACATCAAGTTATTTAGATTTTATTTTATTTTTGCTTCATTATCAGTATTAATTATTTGGATGAAAAGACTTTTCATCAGCGAGATCAAGGCTACAACTGTGACACTCTTAAAAGGCCAGACATGAAAGTGAATAGCTATGCCACATGGAAACGTCACTCTCCGCTCAGTCGCTCCGATATCAAACAGAAACCTCTGAAAGGTTCGCAGATCTTGCTGATGAGTGGAGTTGAAGCGCTGTCCGTGCTCCTGATGCTTATCCGCGGATTAAAACAGTGAAAATAACCCATCAATGTAAAAAAACAAAAAACATCATGTTTAGAGGTTATCCTGCGTGCGCACACATATTATTTCGCAGCGTCACGGTTTATTTCTGTGACTGACACACAGAGTGGAGGGGAGGGGCGCTGATTGTGTATAATTAACGAGTAGAGGAAGGGCCGGAGCAGCAAGTGATGGAGTAAATTGAATGATTGAAGGATAGCCGTGCTAATCCAATCAGATTAATGGGAGTGTGAGGGTGGGGGAAGGGGGGTTTGATGGTTCCCTCCTCACTCTGTCCCTTTCTTGTCCCCTGTCCAGCTTGGCGTCCCTCATCCGGGGTCAGGTGCTGACCACAGACGGAACCCCTCTGGTGGGGGTCAACGTGTCTTTTGTCAACTACCCACACTACGGATACACGCTGACGCGGCAGGACGGAATGTATGTACGACTGCAGCGCCGTTCAAATCTGGAATCTACCTCACATTGTCGGGGCGATCAGATTAGATTAGATGGCGTTGGATTAGACTGGATTAGAATACTGATCTTATGACTAGGCTACTTAAGACTCAGGTAATAAGAAAACAGTCTGTTGGGAAAACATAGCAAGTATCTGATCGATATATTAAGATAAAGCAACAGCAAAAAAAAAATCTTAATTGTTTTTGGTTCGGCTTCTACTGCAAATATCTTAGTCCACTTAAAATTAGACTAAACTAACTTATAAGTAGATGTTCAGCAAGATGTATGAGCTTGTTTTAAGTCAGTAATTCCTTAATATTGATGAAAAAAAAACTACTTCCATTTGCAGATGATTTCACTAATAAGATGTTTTTCCCATGTTATAAGTGAAAACATCTGCCAGTGGAACTAGATGTTTTTCATCTATATTAAGGAATTACTGACTTAAAACCAGCTCCTGTGTCATGCTGAACATCTACTTGTGAGTTAATTTTGTCTTATTTCAACCCTACAAAGATATTTGCACTAAAAACACTTGGCAAAGTTTCCCCTTTTTTGCATTTAAGGTAATAATTACATACACTTCAATAAAAAAATCTGGGCTTTTATGACGTAAAATCATTGTTACGAGCTCATTTAGGCGAGGCAAATTTATTTGTACAGACTCAGAGCTTTAGAGAAAAGTCCTCTTGTCTCACGTGTCTCTCTCTTCCCTCTGCAGGAACTCTTGTCTTTTGGACGTTGTGCTCTGACCATACTTCTGTGTCCGTGTCCCGTTCTCCTTTCCTTCCAGTGTTTTTTTTCTTCCAGACACAACCGACAGTGTGCTAGCATCTTGCCACAGCTTGTGTTGCGCAGCAGCAGCAGTGATTAGTTTCGTGGACTTGTTACTTGAATGACCATGTGCTCTAACCTCTCTGTCCGGCCTCGTTTTTGTCTCGGCGCCGGTTTCCTTTCAGCAGTTCCAGACTCTTAAAAGCTCTCGATGTTTCCCAGAAGAAACGTGTATGACCTCTTTTGTCTTTTCCCCTAATACCTGTTATCCTGCAGATAATGACAACATGCTTGTTTCACTCTACGTAGTCTTCTAACTTCACATTTTTAACACTTTAGACTAAAGCCATCTCTGGGTCTCTACTTTGTTTTTGTCTCTTCTTAGTCCAAGCTGACTTTGTTGCCATTCAAAGCAACGCTAGGTCTCCATTTCAGGTCTGTTTGTTGTCGATTTTCTCAAACTATATTGAAAGAAGAAGAAGAAGAAAAGCCCCGATTCTGTTTTTGAGCTCAGATGACTGTTCACCACAACCACAGCTCATCCCCATGTGTGCCTCATTCCCATCCTGTTTTCACGAACCTCTCCAGGTTTGACCTGATAGCTAACGGCGGCGCCTCTCTGACCCTGCGGTTCGAGCGCGCGCCCTTCCTGAGCCAGGAGCGCACCGTTTGGCTGCCCTGGAGCCAGTTTTATGCAATGGACACGGTGGTGCTTAAGACAGAGGAGAACACGATCCCAGGCTGCGATCTGAGCGGCTTCGTCAGGCCTGACCCTGTTGTGATTGCATCCCCTCTCTCCTCCTTCTTCAGCTCCAAGCCAGGGGAGAAACCCATCATACCGGAGACACAGGTGCAGTACCACTGACCTCTGGCTGCCGGCTAATCTCCCTCCTGGTTCCCCTCGCGCTCCTCCTGCTCTCCTCTATATGCTTGTCTCTTGTAGCTTCTACCTACCTCCTCCCTGCCACCCGCTTCCATCGTCTCTCTCCCCCCCGCGCTCTCCCCTCCTCTCCCCAGCCTCCATCCCCTTCATTTCTTCCCTTCTTTCCAGTTTCTTTATTTCATCCCTCGTTTTGTCCTTCAGCCATCACTGGAAGCGCGACCCCCATTACTCTCCCTCCGTCTAATCCTCTTAATCCCCCCCTCTTTCCTGTGGTCTTTCCCTTTTGTTTCCCCAGGTGCTGCATGAGCAGATCGAGGTGCCCGGCACAGGCCTCAAGCTGTGCTACCTAAGCTCCCGCACGCAGGGCTACCGCTCGCTCCTCAAGGTCACCATGACCCCGGCCGTAGTGCCGATGGGCCTGCTGAAGGTGCACCTGATGGTGGCCGTGGAGGGCCACCTCTTCCAGAAGTGGTTCCACGCCTCCCCGAACTTGGCCTACACCTACATCTGGGACAAGACGGACGCGTACGGGCAGAGGGTCTATGGTCTGGCTGAAGCCGTCGGTGAGTGGCGCAGGCGGCTTTTGCTTCCTCTCTCTCTCTCTCCCAGCACTCGTTTGAATACATTAAACGGTTTAACATGAAGGGGGCTACCGGCGGTGACGGAAGGAGAGGAGCTAATTAAGAAGCCTGAAGGAGAGATGGTACAGCAGTAAGGCCACAGTAGAAAGGGCTCTTTTTCTTTTTTTCCCCCCCTCTTCCATACGTCTATTTCTTCCATTGAAGCTGCTTTTAGTTCAGTCAGCCAGCCGTAACTGTGGTGAAGGGTTATTAGCCATCAGGGCGAGTTAGCCGCTAACTACTGGAGCAGCAAGCAGGAGTCCAGGGGAGCCTCGCCGCTATTACTTTCTGCTGTCACAGTCACTCACAGGCGCCGTCAGCCAAACACGACTGTCAAGACGCGGGCGCCGCGGACATCCGGGGGCTTCGCTGCGGACTGTAGTGGCATGGCGGGCGTGCTGTTTGGGAAATTGGATTCAGTCAAAAAACGAAAGAGAGAGAGAGAAAATCTTTTTCTGCTTTTCCTGTAGAAGACGAGGTCGGGTTTTCTTTCTTGTGAACTGTGAAGGTGCAGTCCTGCGACAGTTACTTTGTAACTTTTTGACATTTTACAGCAACGCGCTTCAGTGAATATGACCAGGCTTCATGCAGCAGACCAACACAAAGTAGTGGCTAAATGTAGAGAGTGCAAGATCTGAAGGTCCAATGAGGAAAAGCGGCACATCAAAGGAAGTAGAATCTGATAAAAACATCCCCAAATCCTTACACCCTTTTTCAGAAAGTCGTTGAAAAAGCCTAGCGGAGGCCGGGCCCATTTTTTTTTTTTTTTTTTTTGCTATTATTATCCTCACTCCTAATGCACTACTTCCTGTAGATACTTGGTAGAAAAATGCTTTGAGGTTCAAGGCTGAAAGGTGACATAAGGTGGAAAAAAAGTTCAAGTGGTGTGAAGAGTTTTTGTTTCATTGTTTGTGGCGAACCTGGAAACGTGCTGGAAATAGTTCTCTGACTGTGACTCAGAAGGGAGTTGATGTGTTAACAGACTTTTCCGTTTAACGAGCAAGAACACACACACACACACACACACACACACCAAATACCTTTATGAGCAATCTGAATGTATCTGCCTGATCTCAACTTATTTCCCATACGTCTGCTGCTTATATTCAAATGAGTTCTGGTTTTGGACGGAGTGCTTCTATAAGCGGAGTCTTCACCGCAGCGACAAACCCTGGCCTCGAGGTTTTCCAAGCCTGCAGGGAAATATTTCCCAATTAAAAAGGTTTTATCAACATGACAGGGTGTTAGCTAGGTGTGAGAGCAGGTTTGGGCGCAGGCGCTAACTAGCTTTTTTGTGTGTGTGTATGTGCGTGTGTGTGTGTGTGTGTGTGTGTGAGTGTATCGCACGTTTCACCTTTTAAATGAACTCTTGGAATAGCTTGCTCGAGTGAAGTTGGTGGTTAATATTTCCTACTTCCTTCACAGTGTTGGTCTTTTTGCTCTTTTTTTTATCTCATAATTACACACCTGTAAGGTCTCTTTTTGTGTCTCGTATGCAGTATCGGTGGGCTATGAGTACGAGTCGTGTGCCAGCCTGATCCTCTGGGAGAAGAGGACCACCATCCTGCAGGGCTACGAACTGGACCCCACCAATTTGGGCGGCTGGTCGCTTGACAAGCACCACATACTCAACACGCGCAGCGGTACGTGGAAGCGCCTCAGCTTTACCCTCGACTTCAGACCACGTTTCTCTCCTTTTTGGTCTTTCGGTTATATTTAGCCGCTTCCCTCCGCGTTGCAGGTTTTCATCGTTGCGTGTGCTTTCTTGCCTTGGATGGGGGTTGCTGCGCGTGATTCGCATTAGATTTCACAGTGCCTCTTTTGTTTTCAGTGAGGGTTTTTACAGGAGGTGCCTGCAGTTGTCTCACCCATCCAAGCTAATGCTGTTCAACAGCCAATCGGGAGCGTCGTTTTCATGCACGAGGGAGTTCGGTTATTAATAAATTGCCAATTGACAGAGTTTGTTTTAGTATAATATACAAGATTAAAAGAAAAAACTGATATCATTTGTAAGCAATAAATCAACTAATCACATGATAAATAAAAAGAAACTCAATTATTTTCATGTACGTGATTTGTTGTTTTTCTCTTTTCTGGATGATAAAAGTCTTCGGTCTGGTGGTTTGGTCTCAACATTTTTGTTTATAGAGGTCACATAATTCATTTTATTCTTTGCTTCTGTTGCTTTGTTTTATTTATTTTGGACACCTAAAGTGTTGGCCAGTTAAATTTTAACGTTTGTTGATCTTTGAGGATGTGAAAATGGTCTCAAAACAACAATATCATCATTCATCGCAATAACTCCTGGCACAAGTCACCGTTCTGCAAAAATTTGTCATCATGACGGGCCGAATCACACGCAAGAACATTTAATAGAATCGGTCCAAAGCAGTCCAACCTTATTCAGTTTCTGGTTTTTGAAATCAATCTGAGTGCTGAACAAATTTATGGGCACATCAGGTAAAGATATGCACAGTTCCTACATATAAATTAAAGGTTTATGCAGAAGCGTCATCTCTTGCTAAAAAAAAAAAAAAACATGGTAAGAAAAATCCAGCAGTATGTCAATAAAAAACTGTTATTTTTGTTGTTGTTTTTAACTGAGGGAAGATTTACTGGCATGCTGGCAGCCCGACGCTTTTGATTTAAAACAACAGCTGTTCTGGTAAAAAAAAACAAAAAAAAAAAAAACATTTCACAAGGTCGGAGCGTACAGAGGAAGGAATCTCTAAGTAGATCCTCCAGATCTCCACAGATTTTTATCTTCGCCTGACATGCAGTGGCTTCCTGCAGAATTTAGGTCTGGGGACTGAGACGGCCATGAAAGGAGGAGGATTTTGATTTTTTTTTTTTTCCCATGTGTTTGGGATCCTTATCACACTGAAATGTCAAGAGTGACAGATTTTTCGTTCTCTGGTAGAATCCAGCTGATGTTTATTTATCTAAAATGCCATAACATTCGTAATGAAATGTTCTCTAAAATGGCTTGGATGCTTTGGAACAGGAAAAGGCCCACAGCATCACAGACTCTTCACTGTACTTAACGGTCACCAAGATTTCCACATATTTACCGTGCTTTCCTCCAGTTAAGTTAAGTGTTACTTGTTAAAAAGCTCGATAAAATGCTCTGTTGAGTTCGGAAGACATCATAGATCTCGTCCACCGGTCGCCATGGAGAACGGCGACCCTCAGACGCCGCCGTACGCCGCCGTTCTCTAACAGTAAGCGTTGCGGATTTGTTTACCTCCTTCGGCGTCCTGCTCTCTGCATGTGGCAAGATAAATATGGGTCCTCATCCAGCCTGCTTGGCAGTGGCTAAAAGAAACGAGCCTCTGTGTCATGACTTATTTATGCCCCAGGGAAACAGAAAGTGACGGATTAGTAATTAGGAGTTCCTGGAAACTTTTTAAGTAGATTGCTTGGGCGGGAGTAATTGTACCACTAGGGATTTTAGCTGAAAGTTTTTTATTCCATAACATTGGATTTATTATTTATTTTTCCTCCCCTCCTCCACCACCGCACCGAATGACTGCATTCAGATTAAAAGTGGGATTTTATTCATGGCGCTTTTGTTTCTTTCAGGCATCCTGCACAAAGGCAGCGGCGAGAACGTGTTCGTGACGGAGCAGCCTCCGGTCATCACGAGCATCATGGGAAACGGACGCAGGCGCAGCATCTCGTGCCCGAGCTGCAACGGCCTCGCGGACGGCAACAAGCTGCTGGCGCCGGTCGCCTTGGCGATGGGCATCGACGGCAGCCTGTATGTCGGCGACCTCAACTTCGTGCGTCGGGTCTACCCGTCGATGAACACGACGGGAATCCTGGAGCTGAGGTAAAAATCCGACGCCCGGAGAGGAGAGAAAAAAAAACAAAAAACACGACCCCGTTACGTCGCAGAATGGAAGAAAAGAAGCGGGAGGAGAAGAAGAGAGTTTAGCACCTAATGTGTGTCGTTTAGCATGACGGCTAAAAAGGCGAGAACTAGCGGATAGGAAGACGTGAGCTTCATTATAAACCCTGCTTGATGCCGTTCCTCCAGAGTGCTGCTACATGTTTACAATCTGCATCGTTCGCACCACCTTCAGCTTTGCATTTCTCTCTGTTGGAAACTCTCGGCAGATTGTGTGAGGTAATATACGTTCTCTTGTGTTTTTCTGCCTCCTATTCTTTCTTAAAGGAACAAAGACTTCAGGCACAGGTGAGATACTTCTGTCAAGAAATTAAAACTTATAGCTTTATAAGGAGAGCATGCAATGTGTTGTAAGTATGTCTGTACCCCTTGAAATTTTCCACATTTTTGTTAAACCAGAACTACAAGCCTGTGTGTGTTTTATATTTGTTTCATGTGACATATCTTAGCTGTGAGGGAAATTTTTACTTGCTTTTTAGTTTTGCTTTAGTGTAGTTGGAGTTTTAGTCTTAACATCCCTCAACTAAAATTGAGGTCAACCCAGAGGTTTGTCAGGAGCACAGCAGACACTGAAGGATTAAAAATATCAAGCGACATCCTAAGCTTTGAACATCTCAAAATGGATGAACGAGAAAAAGAGTACGACACAACTACAAACCCACTAAGACAGTGGATGTTCTGACAGCTGCAAAAAAAAAAATAACTGCGGTATCTCTGGAGGAGCTTCAGGGATCCACAGCTTAGGTGAAAAACAAAAAGGGCCTTCTTGGAAAAAGAGCAGAGAAGGCAGAAGACTTGAGATTGGAACGGAGGTTCCTAAACCCAGTCAAAGTCCAGAGATCAATCTAAATGAGTCGAAAACTCACAAATGTTTGTCGTAAAACTACTTTTCTAATGAATATTGGGCAGAAATAATCATTCTAGATGTGGCAAGAGACGTACCGTAAAAATGGTGGTTCTGCAAAGTGTTACAGCAGCTGAAGCATTACAAAGGTTTTGGGTGAAACTATTTGAAAAACGCTTTTAGTTTTCCCTTCACCTTTATAATTTTTTTCCTCCCCTCCTCCACCACCGCACCGAATGAATGTGTTACACTTTACATTCGACTGTGATTTAAAATCCCAAGAAAATACATAAACCTTTTGCTTCGAAAGTTGCAATGGTTAAAAGTGCCAACTTTGCATTAAAAGTGTCCTTATTTACCGAATGATACTTCATGACAGCAGTCACAAACATTCATAAAGACTGCTTCATGTTTATGACAGTGTCTTAAACACACCCCTTCAAATAAAGTGTCACCACATTTTCTTTTTGTGAAGTGGGCAAAATGCTGAAAACTTCAAGGGGTCATGAACGTACAGCTGAAGACGTTCAGCTAAAAGCTGTTCCCGTTGCGTCGTGTTTCCTCTCACTTCAGCAATAACCCAACCCATAAGTACTTCCTGGCGGTGGATCCGGTATCCGGGGCGCTGTTCATCTCGGACACCAACTCCAGGCGGATTTACAGGGTTCGCTCGCTGACGGGTGGCCGTCTGCTGTCGGACAACGCCGAGGTGGTGGCGGGGACGGGGGAGCAGTGCTTACCCTTCGACGAGCGCTGCGGCGACGGTGGAAAAGCCACTGAAGCTACGCTAATGAGCCCCAAAGGTAGGAAGAACCCTTTCCCGGCTTTGTTTTTACCAGCATCTTCATCTCATTTTTGCTTCAGCAATTCCATGCCTTCGTAGGAATCAAGATTTTTTTCAAAAAAAAAAAAAACACTCCGCAAATGACTTGGCTTTGGGAAACATTGGCTTATGCAGTGATCTGTAGTTCAGTTCAGAAGAAATGACATCCTCCTATATGAAAGTGCCGCCTTGTGACTCGACGGAAGCAGGACAGAGACTGGAGCGGTTTATAAACCAGGTTAATGTTAAACTTATAATGGAATTATTTTTGTGGATCAGTGGATCTCGGCACACTGTGACACCAAACTGTCAAACGTGTCACGCTGTAACATTTCTCGTCAGTGACACGAGAGTGTGTAATGTGGGGCTGCAGGATGCCACCACTCTACAGTATGTGTATGTTTGAGTGCGTGGGTGGGAGGGCTTTCTGGAGGATCAGGCAGCAGTCGCTCTCTTTTACCTGTCACAACCCAAACATCAACTTCATTTTTCTTCGTCAAACTTTTTTCCGTTTACAAATTCCAGACTTTTGGAGATCTACAGATCTGAAGTTTGATATGATTTTAACGTGGAACCTGCGATAATCTTAAAAGGAAAGAAGAACCCAAGAGAGGAAGCAAAGACATAAAGGGGAGAGAAAGAAAGTGTTAAGGAAAAGGAACAGGTGCTGGGTGCAGGAAACTGAAGAATAAGATGTGACACAAGTAAGGAAACAAAGGACAGATTCAAAAAAGGAATAAAACAGAGGGAGGCAGCACAGAAATGGGAGGAAGAACAGAAAGAAGGTTGTAAGATATAAGAATGAAAGGACAGAAGGAAGTAAGGAAACACAAATATGGCTAAAGCAGTAAGGGCACAAGAAAGAACAGCAAGACAAAGTGAATGACAATAATACAAGAAAGGTAGGAGAGAAGGAGGGGAAAAGGAAAGAAGTATGCAATAAAGAAAGATAAGTTGTATTAAGATAGAAAGCTAAAGAGAAAATAAATACAAAGAAGGAAGGTGATTAAAAAAGGGCAGAAATTGAAAACCATGTAATCTACAAAAAAGTCTTGAAATTCTGGTATTTTTGCATTGTCCTTATTTCTTTCGATGTAGTTATCCAGAAATCAAAATCCAGTTTTCCAGACTGTGGGCTCTTGTTTGTATTTCGCTCAGTACTTAGCGGTCTATGCTTTACTGCCACCCACCAGTTTTGCATCTCATTGCATCTAGAAGTAATTTTTGGTGTTCAACTCATGTGGTGTTAAACATGTCACACATGCAAGGTGCTCAATGAAAAGCAAAAAAATAAAGCTAATCTAGAGGTAGGAATAGATGGCGATGTCACTAAAAAAAAACCCAGCACCGACTGAAAAAGCAGGGCAGGTAAAAGTGCACTAAAAACCGCTTTCCACTCCAGATGACCCCGCTCACAACCCGCAATTGCCCCCCGAGAGGGGGCCCGGGCTCATCTCTGCATCCCGATGACTCATCCTCGAAAACGAACACTTCTCGACAGTTCAGCGCCCGATCCATCGCTAACCCCCTTCCCACACACACACACACCTCCTCCACCCCCCACCCCTCCTCATCCGCTGAAGCACCGAGCGATCCAGCTGCCAGGGCTGCCATCCGTTTCTCAGCTGCCACACCGAGTGGAGTTTAATTGACTTAAAATGTCTGCTGGGGTTGAGTTATGAGTCGTCACTCACGGGGTGTTCATCTCTGCGCTCGACAGGCATCGCTGTGGATAAAAATGGCCTGATGTATTTCGTGGACGCCACCATGATCCGCAAGGTGGACCAGAATGGCATCATCTCCACTCTGCTTGGCGCCAACGACCTAACTGCCGTCCGGCCGCTGAGCTGTGACACCAGCATGGACGTCAGCCAGGTGAGGAGAGAGTGAAGGTGATTGATGGCCGTGATAGACGATGGTGTAGCGTCCCCTGAGTGCTGAGCTGTGAGGCTCAGTGGACGCGAGCCAACCCAGGGGTCAGGGGGGAGACGGATATAGGGAGGGATTAAGGAGTCGGTTGATGAGAAGAAAGAGAACCCGTCTGCAGTCACTTAGAAAAATTAAGAAACTTTGCTAAATCTTGGCTTTAGTGACTGTCTCATGCATATATATATATAAATATATACTCTGTTTCTTCCTAACAGGTCCGTCTGGAGTGGCCCACGGACTTAGCAGTGAACCCCATGGACAACTCTCTCTACGTCCTGGAAAACAATGTCATCTTACGCATCACTGAGAACCACCAGGTCTGTGCTAACATGGCCATGGAAGCCCCTAAGGATGAACACTCACCACAGTGTCCTGACAAGATTTTATTCCAATTAGGCTTTCTCGGGCCAATTTAGAAGTAAAAGTTCTGAATTTTGCAGCATACGACAAAATAACCCCTTTATTAGTTCCAAGAACTTCCAACCTTCCTCGATGTACAGTGCTTTGTAGTAACACTCAAAGCTCTTGAACTCTTCGACGTGACAACCATTTTAGAATTCGAGGCAAAGAAGTGCATGACTGTGGGACGAAAAGGATGAATGGATTGCAGTTTTTTTTAAAGAAAGAGTGGCAAGAGTGGTAACTCTTTTACTCCTAAACAGAATCCAGTGCAAACAGTTAGTATAGTAGATATTTTAATAAAATAGAGTCCACCTGCATGAAATTACAACCGAGTCCAAACCAGATGTACTTCACAGAGATCAATCCATGACTCAGGGAAAGGGATAAGAAGTCCATGATAAGTCTGGAATAGTTTCAGAGAACCATGACTCGGGTAGGACAATCTGTCGAAAGCACAGCTGTTGGTTATGCACTTAAGAAATGCATTGCACATATCTGAAAGTGTGGAAAAAGACTCTGCTAAAAGAAAGTCATAAACTTTACCACAAACCTTTTAAGGGACAAACACATGGAAGAAAGTATTGTGGTCAGATGAGATCAAAACAGAACCTTTTCCAGAACAAACACCACGGCGCGGAGACTTTTCTTTGCCATTTAACTGGAAGATAGAGATTGACTATAGACTGGAGGGCAAAGGCTCACTTCCCACTAGGACAACACTAAACACACAGCCGGAGTTACAATGGCATGTTTTAGATCAAAGCATATTCATGTGTTAGCAAAATTCAGACCCCAAATCTAATCGAGAATCTGTGACATGTAAACTGATGTTCACCAACACTTTTCATCCAAAGCGACTGAGCTTGAGCCATTTCTGAGTGAAGTTTTTACTTCCAGACCTACAACATGTCAAAATACATGAAATGTGGCCCATACTTTGATATTTTGTTTGAAAAGGACATATCCTTTCAACCACATAAAGTCCCAGCAACGGTTCTGGTCGTGACGTGGTAAAATGACACACAGATGAAGGAATATGAATACTTATGCATTTCACTACAACCCCATAACTGAGTCCTCTTTCTTATGTCGTTTCCCGTAGGTGAGCATTATTGCCGGCCGGCCCATGCATTGCCAAGTGCCAGGCATTGACTACAGCCTCAGTAAGCTGGCTATCCACGCCGCCCTGGAGAGTGCCACAGCCATCGCCCTGTCCCACACCGGCACTCTCTACATCGCTGAGACAGATGAGAAGAAGATTAATCGAGTCAGACAGGTGGGCCCTGGAGAAACCTTGAGCTCTGTTGTTTGTCTTTCCTGCTGGTTTAGAATAAATTTGCTTCTTTCAAGATATTTTTGGCTGCTAAGCTTGGCAGCTCCTCTGGTTCAAGCTGAGATTTCCAGATTACAGTACTCCTACTTCGCTTTACCTCAGACTGAACTTTGCTGTTGGCAGAACGCTCCGTTTGATCACGCAGCTCTCCTCTGTTCTCTGCTCGGGCTCCAGGTGAACACCAACGGAGAGATCTCTCTCCTGGCCGGCGCCGCCTCCGACTGCGACTGCAAGAACGACGTCAACTGCAACTGCTTCTACGGCGACGACGGCTACGCCCCTGACGCGGGCTTGAACTCCCCGACGTCCCTCGCCGTCTCCCCCGACGGCACCCTCTTCATCGCCGACCTCAACAACATACGCATCAGGGCGGTGCGGGCGAACCGGCCGGGCCCGGCCCTCTCGAGCGTGGGGTTCGCCGGGTCGGCGCAGTACGAGGTGGCGTCGCCGCGGGAACAGGAGCTGTATGTCTTTGACGGCGAGGGGCTTCACATCCAGACGGTCAGCCTCGTGACCGGGGAGCCCCTTTATAACTTCACCTACGGCTCGGACGGCGAGCTGGTCATGCTGGTGGACAACTGCAACAACACCGTCAAGGTCAGGAGAGACGGCCAAGGGCAGGGAGGCGGAGCCGGCCTGCTCAGGCTGGTGCTGCTGCCCGAGAATCAGGTGGTGACCCTCGGATTGGACCCGACCGGGGGGCTGCGCAGTGTGTCCGCCATGGGCCAGGAGGTGGCTTTGATGGGCTACAGCGGGAACACGGGCCTACTGGCCACCAAGGCTGATGAGACCGGATGGACAACATTCTACCAGTAAGTCTCAGCAGAGGATCTAAAGTAAATGTGCATGATGCCCTGCTCTGGTCCAATTTCACATGTTATCCTGCTGCCCCCTAGTGGTCGCTTTGAAAACTACATCTAAAACCTGTACCAACACTTCCTTCAGCAGTACATTTATTTGCCAACACCTTTAGCCCTCGTGTGTAGAAATGGGGTCCAACTGACCCCACACACGTAAAATTTGTATAATTAGTCACAGTCCTCTACGTTTGGGTTAAATCGTATCCTTTCCCCCGCCCCAGGTATGACAGCGAGGGCCGCCTGACCAACGTGACGTACCCGACGGGCATGGTGACGAGTCTCCACCGCGAGATCGAGCGCTCCATCAACATAGACATCGAGAGCTCGAGCCGGGACGACGACGTCACCGTCATCACCAACCTGTCCTCGGTCGAAGCCTCCTACACAGTGGTGCAAGGTAGGCCGATTAAACGCAGCAGCAGGAACTCACTTTTTCCGGTTTCAGATTTATTTTTTCTCCAGCCTTAAAAAGTCCAATCGGAAGACCTTAATTAAGTAACGACGAGTCACACAGAGTTCTCCTTTCAGGATCGCAGCCTCCCCTCTGTGATGGTAAATATGCTGGCCTCCCATTTTAATTTTCATTCATTTATGTGCGCGCTCCGGGAGATTATTTTCCTCCCCTCCGCCCGGCCATTCTCCTCTCAGTCCCTCTTATGGTGGAAAAAAAAAAAAAAAAATTACCAATATATAAGTTGTTAATCCCATCTGGGTCATCCAGCTTTTGAATGTCATCCCAGCAAAATTCATTAACTCACGTTGAGTGAATCCTCCTCATCCCTCAAGCTCTCTCTCCGTCTCTCTCTCTCTCTCCACACGCGCACTCAGCCGGTCCCCATGATCCCTGAGCTTATTTGGTGTGTTTAGAAAAGAGGAGGAAGAAGAATAATTGTGTCCTTCCCCTTGACCGGTGTGAGCCGTGGTGATGCTGCTAGTGCGGATGCCGAGCCGGATGGGTTGCGGATGCAGTCGACGGCGCTCCACCTGCGTTTCGGCGGCCGGCGGAGCGTTTGTTCGCCGCGCTTTTAAGTCATTTAGGGTTTCCTCCACACTGTGTGGGTTTTCAGCTCAGCCTCTGCGCTGACATCCTCACTTAACCGTCTCCCCTCGCTTCCCGCTCTTCCTCGCGCTCTTCATTAACTCCTGCGCAGTGAATTCTCCCTGGCCCCTCAGGCTCTCATTTCACCCCCTCTCTGTCTTTCCCTCAACCTCGCCGCCGTTTTATTACGAGGTTGTTCAGACAGAGCGAGCAGGAAAGATTTATCTAAAGGCTGGTGCTGCCAAGTCAGTGGAAAAAAAGAAAAAAAAAAACCGCTTCACTTGTCTGTTTGAGGCATTGTTAAAATGTGCCTGGAGCTTTATTACAAATTGGCCTTATGGATTACTGTCATTTATGGCAGAGTGTCAAATTAAAAAAAAAAAAAAAACTGAGCTTCTCACCTTTCTGTAAATTGAATAAAGAAAGATCCAAACTCTGCATCTCCGGGAGAAATCAGCTAAAAACAATTTTATCTCCATCATTGTCATCAAGACGTCTGTTTCCAAACATCAGAGGGGAAAATTAGCCTCGGCATTAGGGACGGGCTTATCTCACTCCTTTCTTGTGAGAAAGACAATAAATTGTAAAGATGGAGAGATGGTATAGGGACATCAGTTCAGCATGAAGGCTTTCATTCAGATTATTTTTCACTCTAAAGGACATAATCAAGGAAACCATCTGTTTTACAGACTGGATCGTGTTATTTTTGACATGAGCCTTAACTGAAAATCTCGCATGTCGATAAGATACCAGCAGACGTAAAGGGCCTTTTTCTGTGTGAAAACACACAAGTCCTCTTGCTTAATGTGAACCAACTTAAGCTAAACTAACTTAGATCATCACCATGGAAACCATGCATGTCTTTGTAAGGTGGGAGAAAGACCCCAGTATGTTAATCCCAGCCAAGACTCTAATCTAGGACAATCTTGCAAGATTGAATCATTTTTATTTCTAGTCTTATTCTACATTTAAATATCGCATTAAAATAAAATTACTGTTTAGCCACTTGAATTTGAAAAGAATTCATACTCGGTGTATAAAGGTACTTTGCATATTGACGTTACAAACATTGTGTCAATGCTAATCAGAGCTAGCACTAGCTTGATTTAAGCACCACGTTTAAGTTAATACAGGCAAAAAATATATGTAATATTAAAATACAGTTGTAAGAAAGCATAAAGTGTGGATGTAAACATAGCTTCTTTACCTGTTTATATTGGTGTTGTGGTCAAATATTTGGTCAAGGTGTAAAAGTTAAATATAGCTAGCAGTCGCTTGTGATAACTACTTGGCAAGTAGAAATCTGTTAACTTCACTCCACAAAATAGTTATTTTTAGTGTGAATTGGAGTAATTAACACAACCGGCTGACATTAACATTAGTACACAGTACAATTTTATGATTTTATCATTAAATCTTATCATGGAGTCCAAATTGGCAGGTTATAAAAGATGTGAGGCTCCTTTTTATCTCTTTGACCAAAGGATTTGTTAGCACAATCCAGCAGAATTTACCCAATGCCTGGGTTCTATAAATAACCATTAATTTTTTTGTGTGTGAACACAAACTAAATATCTGTGGTTTAAGAAATAAAAAATAATACTAATTAAGCAATAAACACCACTTTCACATTTACAAGTTTCTGTAATGTTTAATTTATTAGCCTTAGCCTTATCACATGTGATTTTTCTTCTGATCTAATTGAGTTGTATTTTCTAACCATAAATATTGGCCGTTTTTCCTCATTTCATTTCGGACCATGTTGAACCGCAATCAATATTTGCTGTTTGAGATGCTAGATGTGTTTGCTGCGGGCTCCAAGAACCCGATTGCAGAACGTAGTCTTTGCTCCTAAACTCTGTTTTCTTGATCTCTCCCTACAGACCAGGTGAGGAACAGCTACCAGCTGTGCAACAACGGCACCCTGAGAGTGATGTATGCCAACGGGATGGGCATCAGCTTCCACACCGAGCCCCACATCCTGGCAGGCTCCGTCAGCCCCACCATCGGGCGGAGGAACATCACCCTGCCCACCGACAATGGCCTCAACTCCATCGAGTGGCGTCTGCGCAAAGAGCAGACCAAGGGTCGGATCACCGTGTTTGGGAGGAAGCTGAGGGTAATTGCTAATTTTGTAAAGTGAATGATTGATTGATTTAAACACTGAGTGCCCAGGTATTCACAACTCTTAAACTTTTATTTATTAATTTTTTTTCGTTTACGATGTAATTTCAGGTGTTTTTTGTGAAATAGTGAAGCGGTGTAAAACCTTTGTACGAAACTTTGCTCGTTTTTGAACCTCAAAAACATCTGCTGGAGTGAATCGACCGCTTTTCTCTTAGGCTCACGGACGCAATCTTCTCTCCATCGACTTCGACCGCAATACCCGCACTGAGAAGATTTACGACGATCACCGCAAGTTCACGCTGCGCATCATGTACGACACTCAGGGCCGCCCGGCCATGTGGCTGCCGAGCAGCAGCTTGGCGGTCGTCAACGTTTCCTATTCGCCCACCGGACAGCTCGTGGGTCTGCAGAGGGGCAGCATGAGCGAGAAGACCGAGTTTGACTCCCAGGGTCGCATCCTGTCCCGGTCGTTTGTGGACGGCAAGATCTGGAGCTACAGCTACCTTGATAAAGTAAGTACATCCATCTTTAAAAGAGCCATGCAGGAGTTAGGTTTTGCCAAGAAAGGCAATAGCGACGGTAATTTGAATTGGGGAATTGAATGAAATAATACATCACTTTTATGGTCGCGAAGGTGCAAATTTGTCAAGGGAGAGCAAATTACCCCCGGTGCTATTTCACAGGAGGCAAGTCATCCATTGATAATGCTATTATATTAATCTGTATTTCAACGCTTTGCTCTTTTCCTCCAGTCCATGGTGCTGCTGCTGCAGAGCCAAAGACAGTACGTCTTTGAGTTCGACGCCTCGGGGCGGGTCACAGCTGTCACCATGCCCAGCGTCGCCCGCCACACCATGTTCACGCACGTGTCTGTCGGCTACATCCGCAACACCTACAACCCCCCGGAGAGCAACGCCTCCATCATCCACGACTTCAGCGAGGACGGCCGGCCGCAGGCCACGCACTACATGGGCACCGGCCGCCGCGTCCTATACAAGTACGGCAAGCTGGCCAAGCTGTCGGAGATTGTGTACGACAGCACCGTTGTCACGTTCGGGTACGACGAGACGGCCGGCGTTCTCAAGATGGTCAACCTGCAGAGCGGCGGCTTCTCTTGCACCATCCGCTACCGCAAGATGGGCCCCCTGATCGACAAGCAGATCTACCGCTTCAGCGAGGAGGGCATGGTGAACGCGAGGTTCGACTACACCTACCATGACAACAGCTTCCGCATTGCCAGCATGAAGCCCGTCATCAGCGAGACGCCGCTGCCCGTTGACCTCTACCGATACGATGAGATCTCCGGAAAGGTGCGCCCGTATCGCCAGCTCGGCATCTTCGTCTCTCTTTAGGTGCCGGATGTGTTTTCTGTCCTTCTGCGGACTCTTCCCTGACTATTTCCCTGTTTCCCACAGGTGGAGCACTTTGGGAAATTCGGGGTCATCTATTATGACATTAATCAAATCATCACCACAGCCGTAATGACGCTGAGTAAGCATTTCGACACCCACGGTCGCATCAAGGAGGTCCAGTACGAGATCTTCCGTTCGCTCATGTACTGGATGACGGTGCAGTATGACAGCATGGGCCGGGTTGTGAAGAGAGAGCTCAAGATTGGGCCCTACGCCAACACCACTCAGTACCGCTATGACTATGATGGAGACGGACAGCTCAGTGGTGTCAAGGTGAATTTCTGTTTGCACAGATTGAGTTTCCCTCCTCCGGCCCCCCATTATGTTACCAGGGAAAGTTACGCCTGCAGTGTCGCTAAAAAGCTTTTGAATAATTCACTGTTTTGCACAGGTGAACGACTGGTCCACCTGGCGCTACAGCTACGACCTGAATGGCAACCTCCACCTGCTGAATCCGGGCAACAGCGCCCGGATCCTTCCCCTCCGCTACGACCTCAGGGACCGCATCACCCGCCTGGGAGACGTCCAGTACCGCCTGGACGAGGACGGTTTCCTCAGCCAGCGCGGCTCGGACGTCTTCGACTACAATTCCAAAGGTCAGCTCCTGAGGGCCTACAACAGAGGACCGGGCGGCTGGAGCGTGGTGTACCACTACGACGGGCTCGGCCGTAGGGTGTCCACGCGGAACAGCCTGGGACAGCACCTCCAGTTCTTCTACGCTGACCTGAACCATCCCACCAGGGTGACACATATCTTCAACCACTCCAGCTCTGACATCTCATCGCTTTACTACGACCTGCAGGTATGTTTGAGTTATCAGTATGTGTCCTCGTATTTCAGTGCAGCACCGTGTGCAACGATTAGCACCCGTCGTAAAGATGTGCAAAAGTCTTTAAGCTGATTGTCTGTCGGTGCAGAAGCATCATCTTTACAGGTGACAAAAATCCCAAGAGCCAAAGTAATCTGCCTGCCGAATCAACCCTACAGAGAAGGGCGACATAAACATTTTTTAATTTGTATTTTTTTAGTCTTATAGATTAATCAAAGGCGTTAGGAGGTGTTCATTTGTAATCCTCAGCTTGCTGTTTCCCTGGGTTATAAATGTGACATAGAGGCTCATTTCTTCTTCACCAGTCTTTAAAATATGAAGGACTATAAAACATTGGCGTTCAAATAAAGCCAATAAACGTACAGCTTCATGAATAAAGTAATGTCCTCAAGAAAACAGCGTTTTGCTTAAAATCACCCACCTTTACGATTAAATATACGATTAAATACATAAAAAAGTTTAGAACAACTGTAACCTTAAGAGATCTTTACTGCAGGAAAGAGTTCGTCTTAAGGTCGCCATAACAACCACTAGATCCTACCTATATGTGGGGGGAAAGCCTCTTCTGTCATTCAGTCACAAACGTAAAGGTCAAACTACTGCTTGGACTTTTATTGAAACTTTGCAACCCGGTATGATGTAAGATTTAGTTTTTCAACAACAAAATCCCCTGTCTTGAACAAATGATGACTTTTTGAAAACACCGCAGTTAAACATAGTGGAGGACCCATGATGCTGTGGGCGTTTTTCTCTTCCAAGTACTCTGGGATCTTGAGAGTGCCTGACATGATGCCGTTTTTAAAATACAAGATTTTTTTTTTTTTTTTTTACTAAACTGTAGAAAACTTTGAAACTAAAGAAAGAGATTGTCATTGGGTCAAATTGCCGAATTAACAGGAAAAATGGTTCACCAGGCTTATAGCTGTTGTGTGCTAGCTATATTTTATTCCCCAATTAAACGGATTTACTTAAATGTAGGGTTAAAATACACACAAGCATGAACTCATTTTAAGGCTTTCTGCACATCTTTACCAGAGGTTGCAGGATGCTGAGTATCAGGGAGCTCTGATCATTTCTCTCTGGGATTCACAGGGTGAACAATGCAGCCCAAACTTTCATTTTGTTTCATGTCGTTTTATCTTTGGAGGAGCATTGTGACCTAAAAATTGAATCATCTCTTCATTAGGGCCACTTGTTTGCAATGGAGGTGAGCAGCGGAGAGGAATATTACATTGCGTCCGACAACACAGGAACCCCACTGGCAGTTTTCAGCAGCAACGGGCAGATGATCAAACAGGTACAGCCCAACATTGTTTAATCTGTTATTTTTTTTATCCTTGTACTGCATTTCCGTCACATAGTAACGTTTCTCCTCTTCACCCAGGTGCAGTACACGGCCTACGGTGAGGTGTACCTCGACTCTAACCCAGAGTTCCAGCTGGTGGTGGGTTTCCACGGCGGCCTGTACGACCCGCTGACCAAGCTGGTTCACTTCACCCAACGAGACTACGACGTGTTGGCCGGACGCTGGACCTCGCCCGACTACAGCATGTGGCCCAAGATAGGACGAGACCTCTCCCCGTTTAATCTGTACATGTTCAAGAACAACAACCCGCTCAGCGACATGCTGGACGTCAAAAACTACGTGACAGGTAGAGAACGTCATCGGGTGTTGATTGTTCCTTCTCCGGGATAATGAGGCGTAACGCAATGTTCAGACATGCCTCGGATCTGCCGGGTCCATCTTGGGACATTTAACTCTGGGAGGCTTTTAATTTCAGCTCACTAAACATAAGCTGAGCTTTACTTCAGCTTTGATAACGTCGGTAATCTGCAGGAATAAACGGCGGTTTCTGTGTGAGTCACAGAGGCGACACTCTTGGTTTTTTTTTGGTTTTTTTAAATGCTAAAACTGATGATTCCTTTCCTATCATGTCTAACTGTGTCATTTAGCAGAGTGTGTTTTGTGTCTCGTCTGTTGCTGCAGATGTGAAGAGCTGGTTGGTGATGTTTGGCTTTCAGCTCAGCAACATAATCCCAGGATTCCCTCGACACTCGCTCTACTTTGTGGAGCCGCCGTATGAGCTTCAGGCCACCCAGCACTGTGAGAACGGACAGGTAAAGTCAACCATACAAAAAGTAAATTGATGCATATTTTTACAGTAACTATAAAATACTTTTTTTTTTTTAACCAAATTTTGAGTAAAAAAAAAAAAAAATTGTTTCTTAAAACACTACTCACATTTTATCTATTGCAACCACAGAAATTATTGCTTTATTCCAGATTTTATGTTGTAAATTAATGCAAAATAAATAAGTGGAAGCTAAATGATATATGATTGTATTTTATTTTTTTAAATAAAAATTATTTAAAAAATAAATAAATAATTATTTATTTAAATAAAAAGCATTTATACTCAGCACCTCTAAACCACCTTTTGCTCCAATTACAGCTGTTGTTTTTTTTTTGTTTTTTTTTTGTATGCTTTGTTTTGTACCGACATCTAGAGTGAACTTTCTGTTGTCTTCTTTGAAAATAACTTTTTAAGATCAATCCGGTCAGATGAAGAGTAGTCAATATTAACTTTTACCAAAGATTTTCAATTGAATGTAGTTTTTGGCTGTGACTAACCCTAACTAACACATGAATGTGCTTTGCTTCTAACCGTTTTGTATTCGTCGTATTGCAGTGACAAGTTTTCTATCTCATGCAGCAATTTGAATTTTGACCAAGAAGTTGAATAGTGACTGATTATGGTTTAGCTTTCTGTAGAAGCCCAAATGCCCTGAAGGCTTTTGATTGGACTGGATTTGTTTCGGAACATCAAAGCAAATACCAAAAATACCTTCCCTACATTTGGTGTTTGTAGAAAACCATAAATTATATTGTTAAATTCACAATTTTGCACTACTTTCAGTTGAATCTAATACATTTCATTTAGTGGTGTGGGCATCACAAAGTGACGTAATGTCCATTTGTCTGGAAGTTGCTCTGAGTCGTAATGTTGTGTTTCAGTGACAAGTTTTTGTTTCTTGGTCATGTTAGCTCATCACCGGCGTGCAGCAGGCGGCAGAGCGCCACAACCAGGCCTTCATGGCCCTCGAGGGCCGCCTTCTCAACAAAGAGCGCCGCAGACGTAAAGACAAGCCCGGCCACTGGTTCGGTACCAGCACCCCCATCATCGGCCGCGGAGTGATGCTGGCGCTGAAGGAGGGCCGCGTTGTGGCCGGCGTGTCGCCGCTGGCCAGCGACGACAGCCGCAAGATAGCTCTGGTGCTCAACGGCGCCCAGTACCTGGAGGGCACTCACTACACTCAGGACGGGAGGGACTGCCACTACTTTGTGAAAGTGGGGTCTGCCGACAGCGACCTGCTGGCCCTGGGGCTCACGAACGGACGGAAGTCTCTGGAGAGCGGCATCAATGTGACGGTGAGCGGCCGGTCGAGGAGAGGCGTGACCGTGGAGTTCGCCGTCCCGTCGCTAGTGCTGAGCATTCGCTACGGGCTCTCTGTGGACGTGGTGGACGAAGAGAAGGTAAGACTGCTGGAGCTGGCCCGACAGAGGGCCCTGGCGGGGGCCTGGGCCAAGGAGCAGCAGCGCGCAAGGGACGGGAAAGGCGGCAGTCGCCTTTGGACCGAAGGGGAGAGGCAGCAGCTTCTAACGGCGGGTCGGGTCCAAGGCTACGACGGCTACTACGTGCTGCCGGTGGAGCAGTACCCAGAACTGGCCGACAGCAGCAACAACGTCCAGTTTCTCAGACAGAACGAGATGGGCAGGAGGTAACAGCCCACCCGAACCCCGCTGACTCTTCCCTTCTCTCCCGACATCTCCGGATTTTGTCCCTTGTTTTTTTTTTTTTTTTTTTTTATTTTTTTCAACCCCACCTCCTTAACCTTCTTACTCCTCTGAAAACCTACGGAGAACTAACCAACAAACGGGGTTACTCACGGAACGCTGCAGGGACTTTTAAAAAGTATGAAAAACATATTGTTGATTTTACTGCCACAGGCAAAAAAACAAAAACAAAAAAAAACAAATACAAATGTTTAGTCAAATTTTTTTTGTTTTTTGGAAAAAAAACAAACAAAAAACTTTGATCAACTGACAAAAAAAAAAAAAAAAAGAAGAAGCACTGAAGAACTCTGATAACTGTTGCTTACCCAATAAGAAGATTCCCCTTTTTAAAAAAGATAGAGATATTTTCGCCCATATTTATTGGGTCACATCAAGAGCAGCCACGACAACGCAGGGAGGAGGGAAGGACGGGGGTCGTGCGCCGCGGCGGCCTCCGCGAATCGCGGCTTGTCTCGTCTCCGATAAAGAAAACTGAAGGCAGAGGGACCAAAGCGGAGACCGATCCTCCTCAGAGCGCAGCCAGCCATCACCCAACATGCATCACTAAACAGCGACGCCAACGCGAGCCGTCTCCCTGTCTCAGGCCTCCCATTGTCCGTCCACCACCGTCCGTCCAGTTCCGCCGCCGATCAGCCAAGCAACAGGACAACGGCATCCATGAACATCCGAGCTGATGAGGATGAGCTGAAGCATAAACTCAAAAAGAGAGAGAGAGAAAGAGAGAGGAAAAACAAACAAAAAGTCAAAAAAAACAACAAAAAAAAACGACAGCTATATCTGTGGAAAGTGGCATAGCACCACGTTGTTTATTTTGCAACCGGGGGTGGGTGGGGAGCAGAATCACACACACCCTCCCCGCCCCCCATACATATGTGTCAGACTACACTTAAAAACTTCAGGATGTTGCGTATACCGTAGATGCCGTAGTTTTGTACGTTTCAGTCGCGGTAGAATTGTGAGATTTTCACCAAGGCACTTCTGTACAGCGCGATCAAACACTCAAACACACACACACACACACACACACATCACTCACCAAGTCCGACAGACATGCTGAGTTAGTATTTATTTGGTTCGTTTCTTTTTTTATTTATTTATTCTTAGTACTAAATGACAATCATGAATGAGTCACCAGTTCTTATCGAGACGAACATCGATGGACGAGCTTCTTTTGTTTTGTAAGATATGTAATAAATGTTTTTTTTTTGTTTGTTTGTTTGTTTTGTTTTGGTTTTTGTATTTGTTTTCGGTTTGCTGACAGGGGAAACAATAGTCAACTGGCAAAAAGAGTAATTTATGTAATGAGGTGTTTTAAAAAGCAGTTTATACTTTAAATAAAGTCTTTAAAACTGTGAAATCTGTTTTTTCGAAGTATATTTCGATGTACAGTGTATAGACTTAACTTTATGCAGCACAGTAGAATATTGTTCAGAATATCAAGTTTTATATTTCTAAGAGGAAGTGGCTTGTAATGTGCGAAACCTTTAGCTGCTCTTACTACTCTAGAGTTTTGTGGCACTCTGATACTCCATTATCTACGATATCGGTCCAAAGTTTGTTTTTTCTTATTCTTTTTCATTTCTGTTTGTTTGTTGTTTGGAAGCAGATTCTTTCTGTCCTAGATCCCAACAGCAGTAGCAGTAATGGATCCCTCTCACTGTGAGGAGACTCGTGCTGGATGTCATAATGTACCAAATCAGTATTATCAGAGGATGATTCTTATACGTTCACTGAAACGAGGCTCTTCTGAGAAACCTTATCAATAAAACATAATTGTTTACTTCAACTGAGCTTTCATCTCATCTCTTGTGTCTGAGGACGGCGCGCCATCGTCGTTCAGGCACCAGCGGTCCGCTCTCATTAGTTGCTTCTCAAAAGCAATCTTTGGAACCCTGGTGATGCGCTGGAAAGCCAAGGTTTCCAGTCTTTGTTAATTACGCATCATAGTCAAGGAAACGGTAGATTTTTGAGTCAGTTTTCCTTAAATGGGGACAGGATTATGTGTTTTCCCTGCAGTGCCGTTTTATAGCGCAATCAAGTAACTGTGTTACCTTCAGTTATAAAATGCTATATATCAAATATCACTTAAAAGAAATTTGATGTTATAATGAAATTGGGCCTCTGTCTCTTTAAGAAGGTCCTGCTCTTTCTTAAACTCCACCTCCAGGAAGTCATCACAACGTTTTTTACTAGCGTTTCACTGAGAAATACAGCTCCTATAACGAGCTTAGCTAATGGCTAAGGTGTTAGCCATTAGCCGTTGGCTAATTGCTGCAATCAGCTAATGGCTGCTGGCCTCATAGAGGCGGGAGCTCGGAATGAGCTGAATGGTTGCCACGGGAGATTAAAAGATTTCTGAAACATTCAGAGAGAATCAAGGCAACACTCCAGGTATATTTTTGATGACGGAATAACATTATAATATGATGTAAAGCTCAAAATACAGACATAACACTGCCCCTTTAGAACAAGGAGAACGTGTTCTAGCAAACGGTAGCTTCTGTTCTCAGGAACTATGTGGATGGAACAACACACATTTGGTGCGTAAGTGGAAAGAAAACATTGTACTGGTTTCAAAATTCTTAACAAATAAACGTGAACAATCCGGGGTACATATGTCAATTATAGAGCCTCCTTTAACTGCAGCTACCTGTCTGTCGGGATTTGTCTCCAACAATTATTTACATGTTGCAACTTAAATTTGAACCCATTTCTACATTCTCGGAGCTCAAGCTCAGTCAGATCGGAGGGAGAATTTTGTTGAAAATCAGCTTTGAGTGTTGCTTCAGATTTACAATTGTGCTTATGTGTGGTCTTTGACTGGGCCATTCAGGTTGGGATTTGAACACAGGACCTTCTTGCTGCAATGCCACACTGCTACTAATAGAGGTGGGTAGAGAACAGAAGATTTATACTCAAGTAAGAGTAGCTCTACTCAAACGTATTTTTACTCAAAGGTTACAGTTTGCTAAAATGTCCAAGAAGTATTAAATTAAAGAGTAAATGATCATAACTGCTAATGTAATATTTTAAAATTATGGATTAGGTGCAAAGTCTGATATCTTGGAGACTAAAGAAAAATACAAATTGATAAAATTATAAAATAAATTTAGGAAGAAACACTTCTCCAAAACAAAACGTATTAAGTAAATGCTTCTAGTAGGCAGCGTATATACTGTATGCTAAACCAGGAGAAATGCTTCTAGTCACAACATTTACTGTTTGCTGTATCTTCACTTGTTCTCCAACAGGCTCAGTGGAAAGAAAATAACATTAATACAATGAAACTGGTGCACAAACAAGAAGTCTCAAACATAAACGTGTGTCTGTATCTGGCATTTTTAGATAAAGCGATGATTCAGTAAAGTTTTCTCTAACAAGAGTAGCAATGCTTCTTATTATTATTGCAATATTATTTATGCTCACATAAATGTACATTCCCCCCCGCCCCCCCCAAAAGAAGTTATTCAACTAAATATATCGTTACTACCCAGCCTGCTTTGTTCTAAACTTTTCCAATATAATTCTGAGGATGTTTGAAGTCGGCACACACCAGCCTTTTGCACTCTGTATTTTTTTGTCAGGATGGTCCCTTACTTTAGCTCCATCCATTTTCCAATTAGCTTTGTCCAGCTTTCCTGTCCTTGCTGAAGAATCTCCACCACATGATGAGTTTTACATTCTGTTGATCTATTGTGTCATTATTCAGTTACCTAGAGACGTGACAAAAACGCACACAGCTTTTATTACAGCAAAACTGTATCTGAATAAGCTGCAGGGACTTTTGGAAGAAAGGTACTTAGAAACTTTTTAAAAAGATATATTTTAAAGAAAAAAAAAATCTCAGTGCAAATTTCATCCTACAAATAAAAAAAAAAGGTCCAATTGAATCAAACTGTTGTAGCTTCATTATTGAATTGTGGTCAGGGGCCGAAGACAAAGTGCTGCAAAAGGCCATCCAAACCTGAGCCCTCAAATTAAAGATTTGATTTTTCTAGATACCCATGCATCTACAATAAAATAATGTATTCTTAATGCTTTTGACATTTTTACCAGAGGTGTGAAGTGTAACCAGGAAGCGCATGCTGAACATAAGCTCAACATTTCCAGGTTTCTGCAGCTAGTATTGATCTACAGTCTCTGCACACTCCACTTACATCCATACATATTGCTGCAATCCAGCCAATAATTGGAAACGACAAAGTCTTTAATTATAGCAATAAATTATTTTAATGAAAGACTCTCATCCAAAGCAAAAAAAAAAAGGCATTCACAGACTAAGAGGATTTCTTCCGTTGAGCAAGTACAGTTTTTTTTTTTAATGATACTTCCAGATACATTTCCAAGGTTCAGCTTACAAATATTAGAATCATTTTTCATAATAATGAAAGCACATTACATTGCAGCCATTAAAAAGTTAACAGTCATCCAAAGAAAGATTACCTTTGTGTTTAAAAATGCATTTCATTTATTTTCACAAAAAACAGAAAAAGAAAAGTGAAAGTGTGAAAATAAAACTGATACATTTCAAGCTTCTAAACGTCAACCCTCCCAAAGCTCATTAGCATCCAGGGAACAGAGCCCCATAATGGGAGAGTAGTCCTTTGTTTGCTAATGTAGCTGAGGAATGGCGGACGAAGGGGAAGGACACAGGGGTCAGGGTTCAACAGGCAGGCAGGATTTGTTTCTTGCAGAGGTAATCATTGTAAAGTGCCAAAGAGCATCACACTAGATACGCCTGAGATCCGTGTATACTGAGGGAACAAGCACTTACAATGTGCATCTTTTCTCAATGCGTGTGTGTGAAGGTTGTGTGTAGGTGTGCAATTTAAAAAAAAAAAAAAAAAAGAGCCTCAGATTCATGTTGGTGTTAAGCTCCGTTACAGACCACTACAAGACAACTTGTGGACAAGTCTACCAGAGCTGAGGACTTCACATTGAGCGGAAAGACTTCCCTATGAGACTGGAGCTTTTGTTTATTGAGAAATAGTAGAGACGATGAGGTGAGTGGGGGCAGAGGTGAGACGGAGCCAGGTTTTAAGGCAGAAGAAGAAGAAGAAAGGGGGAAGGTTGATGAGGTTTTCAGCTTACAGGAGACTAATAAAGCTGAACAAAATGAAGAAGGACGTTATGTCAGCATGTCCCAGAGACAGCAGCAGCACAGCGCCGTCCAGCAGGCCGTCAGGCAGGTGTCCGCCGTGTCGTCCCTTCTCCTCTCCTCCACCACATACACTGGGAGGGAAAGACACACGGAAGGTTAGAGACGATAAGGGAGGGCAAAGGAAATTGGTGATTTATTTCTATTCCTCCCAAAACAAATAACCGAAAACCAGAGATATTTCCCAGAATTACTCTGTCAGGACTCTGGCAGCGAGTTCAAGGGTAACCAGGGGCCGATATGATTTCCTCTAATTACATTCCTCATAGGAGACATCTCCATGGCGATACCATGGCAGCTGAGACCCACAATCCAGCAGGAGCAGAGTACTCTTTGTACCGCTGGCCGCATTTAATGAGATTTCAGCGTAAAACAGTAAAACTTTCCTTTACTCCACATGGACAGCAGAGATTTTGCAGTCAACAGGTTTTAATTAGAAACATTAGAAGAGAGTGTTAGACATGTATGAAGTTTAGCAGATGTTCACAACAGGAAACTAGAAGAAAAAAAAATCCAACACAGGTGCTGAATAAATGGATCTCCCCTTCCTCGTTTGTGTGATTAATCATTTATGTAGAGCAAACCAGTCATCCAGGCTTTAACAGCCTGATCCGCCTCGGGTCAGACCGTAAACAGAAAGCAGCTCTGATAACGATGCAATGATCTGATTAGTGCCAAGCCCAATATTTAACAACTCTTGTCTTGATCTAAATGTCTCACAGCCAGAAACCTGATCAACCAGAGAATGCTTATCTTGACTTAACTGCATCTGCAGATGCACCCCACCACCTTTTATAAAACGTCTCGATGTTAATTATGCTCTCTGTTCTCTCTGGGATGCTTTACACTGAACTTTATGTTTTCGCATGTTGTTCTAACACGACCGATGAATTAACGCACCTTGATTCTAAACTCAAGCATGAGGATCCCCGACTGCCTGAACTCTGTGATCAGTTTTAACGTTTTGGTGGAGCCGAAACAGTTCTTAATAGACAATCCATGAAACTGTATAATTAAATATACCTTTGAGATTTTTATTTTTCCGTTTTGCTTTTATAAAAAACTGAGGAGCACCGGAGCTCCAAACAGCTAAATGAAACAATTTGTTTCATTGTTTAACAATGCCTTACCCTTCTGCGACAGATTAAATTTAATGAAGTGAGACTACAGGAATAAATAGAGTTCAACATTAAGCCGAAGGTTAATAATAAGCTCCTGAAACGGCGTTCCCAAAGCTCTGACATCAAACCTATTAAAATTCAGCGGACTATGTCTAAACGCCAGGTGTAGGCAATTAAACACGCCAGCTGAGATAAACCTACAACTGTCTGCCATGAAAAGCGATCCATGTCCAGTCAGAGTGACGCCAGAAGCTTGCTGATGGCTACAAAAAAAAAAAAAAAAAAAAAAAATCACAAAAAAAGGGGGGTTTTCCCCTAAATAAAAATGGGGGGGTTTT